CGGCAGGCAGCTGAAGCCCAGAAACAGCTGAGAAACGTGCAGGGACAACTCAAGGTAAATCCACAGAGACATCCTCTTTGTAAAGAGCAGCTGAGAACATTTGCTGATGTTTCCCCATGTTTTTAAATTCAGGATGCCCAGCTCCATCTCGATGAGGCCATCAGAGGTCAGGATGACATGAAGGAGCAGGTTGCAATGGTGGAGCGCAGAAACAACCTCATGATTGCTGAGATCGAGGAGCTGAGAGCTGCACTGGAGCAGACAGAGAGAAGCCGCAAAGTGGCTGAGCAGGAGCTAATTGATGCCAGCGAGCGTGTGGGACTGCTGCACTCTCAGGTGTCTATCTATAAGATAGGAAAATGTAATAGCTCTTCTTTGTACAAAATGGGATGTAATCTTTGCTTGTTTTACATTAGAACACCAGCCTCATCAACACGAAGAAGAAGCTGGAGGCTGACCTTGTTCAGATCCAAGGTGAGGTGGAAGATGCTGTCCAGGAAGCAAGGAATGCAGAAGAAAAGGCCAAGAAGGCCATCACTGATGTGAGTAACTCTTTGTACTCAAGTTTCCCTTCTCACAAATACAGTTCGCTGACTAAATTTCTAAAAATGTCAGGCTGCCATGATGGCAGAGGAGCTGAAGAAGGAGCAGGACACCAGTTCTCACTTGGAGAGGATGAAGAAGAACCTGGAGGTGACTGTGAAGGACCTGCAGCACCGTCTGGACGAGGCTGAGAACCTGGCTATGAAAGGAGGCAAGAAGCAGCTCCAGAAACTGGAGTCGAGGGTAAATATCTCTTCCTATACCAGCCTGATATCAGACTTTCTGGATGTGTGTGCTTTAGAGATGACATTAAGTCATGTTCATATTTCAGGTGCGCGAGCTTGAATCTGAAGTTGAAGGTGAGCAGAGACGAGGAGCAGAGGCCATCAAAGGTGTTCGCAAATATGAGAGGAGAGTGAAGGAGCTGACCTATCAGGTCAGGAGATGTTTCTTTTTGTGTCTGTCTACCGTAGGATTTCCACAAAAAGGTGCATAAGTGACATTGTTTTTTTTCCTACAGACTGAGGAGGACAAGAAGAATGTTGCCAGACTCCAGGATCTTGTGGACAAGCTGCAGCTGAAAGTGAAATCCTACAAGAGACAGGCTGAGGAGGCCGTAAGTCCCATTCTTGATCTTTTTTTACTTCAGCATTACAAGTACTGCTGTATATAACACACCCAAATCCATCTACACAGTGATTTTATACATAGTGGAAATTAGTCACCTCGTGTCCGAATGTTGAGTCTTCAAAAAATGTAACTCTGTTGTTGTACATCCTCGCAGGAGGAGCAGGCCAACACACACATGTCCAGGCTGAGGAAGGTGCAGCATGAGCTGGAGGAAGCTCAGGAGCGCGCTGACATAGCTGAGTCTCAGGTCAACAAGCTGAGGGCAAAGAGTCGGGAAATTGGAAAAGTAAGTTCAGCTCCAGCATTGAGCAACTGTAAAACTATGAGAGCAAAGGCCATCTCAGCAGTTTGAAGTCAAATTGTCCATTTGAAAGATAAATGATCAAAAAGTCTCTTTCAATCTTACAAGTTTCTCTTCTCTGTTTCAGGCAAAGGACTCTGAAGAATGAGCTGACTCATCTGTGAGAGACAAAATGAGAATCATAAAATATGATTCTTTATTGAAATACTCTCATTAACTGTTGTAGTTTTAAAGACAATAAATTATTCTCCTATTCTGCTGTGTTCAATTTTTTCTTTAAGAAACAAAATTAAAATCCCACAAGCTGGCTATCGAGTGATGCTAAGAGCCACACAGAAAAGCTCTGGCTGAGACTTGAACCCTTTTGCTGTGAGGTGATTGGGAATGTGCTTAATTATTTCCTTAAATGGTTGGTGAGTGGTATCCCTCCACTCCCTGCCCTCTTCAACATGTTTTTTCTGTTTGGGGAGCTGTTTCTTTGTAAAAAACTGACAGCTGTCTCCACCCACTACTACCAGACTGCATCTGTTCCTGAACATATGGCACCGTGTAAGACACCTCAACGCTACATTTAGAAGTCTCCATTCACCGAGAATAGGATTAATTTGAGTGTTTCATGTTCATGCATTTGGCAGACGCTTTTATCCAAAGCGACTTACAGGGTAGGGAGGAGCTGTATTGGCCGGGAATCGAACCCAGGTCAACTGCTTGGAAGGCAGCTATGCTAACCACTACACCACCACTCCTCAGGATTTTGTTGAAATACCTCATCCAATTTGATCATTTTCTGTTCTATAATTTTGTAAAGAAAAACTCCAGATACAGTGAAAGCCTAAACTATGCTCTGAGCTCATGGTAATTAGAACTTTATAATAACTAAAGTTGCATCCACAAAACTCTATGAGGATATTCTACAATGTCTTCATACAATGTCACAAGTTTGATGGATGGACAGTCTTTAAAAGTTTAAGAATTAGATTTAGCTCAACTTTTGCTAATTCAAGCACAACCACATGAACATTATTTCACCAAATGTATGAGGGTATATGCCTTAAACAGAGTAAGTTATGTTCAGCATTAGCATGTCATCATATTTATGAAGAGAAAGAAAATTCCTACAGCGAAATCATACCGTGTGCCGAAACAGATCCTGACTGATTCATTTAGAGCTTCTTTTACCCAAAGGAAGTAATGTCTAGCAGCAGATTTAGGTCAATCCTCGCCTCCCTTGAAAGCTTCATCCGCTCTGCAGCTCTTATGTTCTGCTTATGAATGATGTCCTCCTGAGCTAGGTTAAGTGAACAAAGCATGATGTGTTAAAATTACAAAGATATTGAAACTACTTTGCCAAACACTGATAGTCTGGTATCATAGCTAAATCAGATGTCTGTGTCCCTTATCTAAGCTACATTATGAAACATGTTGCCTGCAGGAGAGAAGACCTACTTATCACAAAACCTCTGAGGGCAGCTGACTGCCAGGATATTTGGTTTATGGAGTCACTGAAGCCAAAACATCCCTTCTCAAGAGCTTTTACTGTCAGCAACCTATCTTCTTTCCTCTGAAGACCTTAACCTTTATACAGTTTGATATCCTCACTCATGAACAGTTGGGGCACAAGGCCATGATGAACTCTTGGATTTCTTTTCTGAGATTCTCCTAGTATGCTAAAAATTCATAGTTTAATCTCCAACAGCTGACAGTCTCTGTGTATGAGACAAAGGAAGAGCTGCTGGCAGGAATGTTGGGATGTGAAAAGGCCTACAGGAAATCCTTTGCTGAAGTCTGATGTATAATAATAGGGATTACCAAAATACAGTTCATTTCCTTAGAACCTCATCTACACAGCAAACATATTAGAAATAGAAATTTGGGCAACTGTAGAACAGAAACAAAGTAGAAATAAGAATTTATTTTGGTTAAAAAAAACATACCACAATTAAACACAATATCACCATTAAACATAATGGAATTAGCTTTCGCTGAGAGTGTTTTTATCATGTCAGAAGGAAAATAAATAAACAACTTCATTTTTCACTCACAGCTAAATATGCTGAATGATTCTGTGGGGATGAATAGTCATTCAGTGGTCTTAGTGGTGGTCTCAGGATGCTGTCAGAACCTTTTGACCTCTAACTCTTATATGGCAGTGAGTTATGCTTGCTACGTGACTCCATTTTTTAACCCTTCTTTTTATCCTGAGGGCTTCTCTGCAATTATGATAGAAATGTGGTGAATGTTAAGTCAGCCGGAGAAACAATGTGGGGGAGTTACCCACCGAGGCTTGAGGGACATGTATAGCATTAGATTAATCAAGGACTTCATCAGAATAAAAAAATGTGACAATGCTCATTTCAAATATGCTCTATGACTCATCAAAAATGTATGAACTCTAAAGTTCCATTACCAATGTGTATTAAAGTATTAAAGATGTATCTTTTTCCCAAGAAAAAAATCTCTAATGGTTAATGAAGTTGAAGTACTTACTTTTATACGAGAAGAAACCTTTGACAGAACCAGATCTCAGAGGGCAGCCGTCTCCCTCTAGCAGCTGGTGGTTGAGAGGACAGGGAAGACAGAACAACAAGCACAATGACACCAGGTCAGGGAAGTGACTGACACAGAGAAGTTTACGACGACAAATAATGTATATACATAGAGAGTATAGAGGTAAGATATAGACTAGAGTGAGATGAGGTGCTTTATGAGAAGTACAGGGCTATGGCAGCATAACAATGGGAAGCTCGCCTGAGCCATTCCTATAAGATGCCCTTTGAGCCATAAGTCAAACTTGGCCTCTTACACCACCATACTCAATCATACAGAACAGATGCCAGAACTGGATGAGGTACCGCCTTTGGTGTCTGACTCTATATTGGCAGAGAATCTCAGAAAATGTGAAAGAAGAGATGAAAGATTTTGCTTCCTGTTGGTATTTCACACGACATTGATTTATGACTATAACAGGGACGCATCAGTTTTTCGTTTTATTATAGTTAAAATGTGTTTCTCCGGATTGGGGAAAGCTCACCGTGCATCTGAATGGACGGATGCCAGTGAAGAGAGTGTTGCTGTGTTCCAGGAACACAAACAAGTCCAGAGCCTGTCAGTCACACTTGGGAGGAACATCAGGAAGAGGAGCTTTCAATGCAGCAGCCCTGACTGGGAGCCAGGCCTCTGCAGGGACACCTGACAGACCAGTGAGAGCCAGCTCAAGAAAGAGAAGCGTAGATGACAACCAATACACGTGTTCACCGAATAAAGCACTGATGAAGCTATTTCAGCGCAGGAATAACCTAAAGCGGAGGGCCCGATTCAACTGCCAGGGTTAAATACAACTGTCTTATTGGTACACTGATTTTTCATGGTGACTTTTTGCAGACACATTTCCAATAATTATTCAGTGTAAACCACTGATTGGCTCAAGACGCTTTTGTAACAAAAAATTCTCAGAAACTGCCTCATGGCTTCTTACAGAATAAGTCCTACTGTTAATGTAATATAACTTTACTATTCCTTACTAATCATGCAATTTAAATGAGCACTTTTAATTTAATTGAATACATTTATTGAATAAATCAAGGGGCAAAGTCACTGTAATGTTGAATCCATGTAACAGAAATTAAGCCTAGATGTGTTCACTTCCTGTTCCAAAAGAATAAGATAATGTTGTGTGTGTGAGTATGATATATGTGAGATCAAGTTTATAAAAACATGTATATTAGAGTTTAGTTGTGGTTTGGGGAGTTTGATCTGCTTGGAAAACATCATAGTAGGAGATCTTACAGATATGAGGGCGAAACACAACGTGCCAAAAGACTATTTTCTGCCTTATTAAGTTATCTTAATGCAGCAATTTCCACAATGTTTATGTTTTACTGATGTATTTAAAGTGTTTGACTAGACTTTAAAACTCACATTTAATTCTCGCATGAGTTTTAATGGAAATAAAAACATTTATAAGTATGATTCAGAATGACAAAAAACTATTATATGCATAAGAACTTAGTTTTCTAAATAGCTTGATTATTACTGTTCAGTGTTTACATTTTGGAAGTTTCCCATAGGCTCACAACGGGCCTCTGTATATACTGTATATAGAATTAGTAAGTAAATGATGAATGTTGCAATCTTTTTAGAAAAAATCATAACTAAAGTGAAAAATATCAACCGCATTTAATCACAAAGATAAAAACATTTAAATATCCATTTCATAATGAGACTGCGAAAATCTTTACAAAGTAAGTCTTCATCTTCTGCAGACTGCTTCACATTGTCTGTACAAAATGAGGTGGTGTCGGAGGCTGGCACAAAGAGAGGAAACTTTCCAGAGTAAACAACGACATCAGCAAAATGGAGAGCAAAGTTACAGCCAAAACATTCTTATCATTTGATAATCATTAAATGAAAGACACAAATAGACAGAATATATAGATCTTTTTTGTTTGTTTTGCCATTTTCCTTGTAAACTGGTTAATGAACAAAATAGGAAATGAGTAAGTGAGAAAGCAACACTGACATTTAAGTTCTGATTATGTTGATTAATAACGTCCTCACACATGCCACTGCCTTATTTTTTATACAACCTTTAGATGCATAAATAATTTCCTGTGCTTTTACATCATTTGAGACTTTTTTAATGAAGATTCTATTCATCAGGCAGTACTTAACTCATAACTCTGAACTTCTCTGTGCTATCACTTGCTGCCAAAAACGTGAACACTGTAGGTTTCAGCTAAAAATGTTACTTTCAGCTAAATTTACGGCTTCCTCATCACCTGCAGTATCCACAGTAGGCACAATCACAGGGCTAGAGCCAGATGCAGACAGGAATGTAAAATATTCAGAAGACTATGCACACAAATCTGTAAAGTATTCAAAATATCATGCAATTAAGTACCAGTCATTTGAAACAAAACAACAACACCGACCTCAGATGTGGTAATATATTCCATGTTTGGCGGTGGCAAACTCCTAAAAATGCCTTGCCTCAGAGAACAGCAGTGTCGTCTTAGCACGGCTAAATGACCAGAAGTTGTACTACAGGTCTTGTCTTTGCTGAGGTCTTAATTCTCCATATCCCCACCATGCTTGGGTGCAGAAGAAAAGAACAACAGTGGGTATACTGTACATAAACATTCATTCATTTCAATCAGTCCAAACTGAGAAGCACAAATTCCCAACTGATGTCAAATAGTATTAACACGGTGCAGATGGGAATGGCGTAGAAATCTATGAAAATGGACAAAGTCTGTGCTTTGATTCAAGCCTGTCCATGAGAAGGCAGTGCTCTTTCACAAGTGTGCTCCACTAAAAATGTTCTTGGAGAGCATCATTTCATATTTCCTGAATAAGAAGTCCTTTTAAAGCTGGACCACTGTACCTCTTCAAATGTAAGTGTGTCGCTCACAAAGCCTGCAGGGCAAATGTCCACATCAGAGATCCAAATGTTCCTTTTATCGAAAATGGCGAGTGCAACAAGGCACTGCGGGGTGGGACACCAGGCAGACGGAAAAAACATTGGTTTACAAATGTTTTGTTCAAAAGGCTTTTCAAAAATACCCCATGTTTTCCTGGCAGCCAGATCAAATGACAACATAAAGACATGACGGAGTGATTCACTGTGGGAGACTAATTTCTGTTTGTTTTTTTGTCATTTTTGTATAATTTTATCATTTTTGTCTGAATACAGAATGATGTTTTAACACTCACCTGCATAGGAAATCTGTGTATAAATAATGTTCAGATTATGTGACATATAGGCTGCAAGCTCAATGAAATAAAAAAAAAAAGACAACCATTTCCAGCAGAGCTGAGTCTGTGTATGACAGGCTGTAGCCATGGTGCATTAACTTCAAGTTGATCATCTGCAGCCTATATCCATGAGCTGGAGTGAGCTGAACCAGACCGGAGCTGTGTCAACCCATCCAATAAAAAGCATAAAACACTGTAACCATGCTACCACTGCAGTCCTAGAAGTACAAGCTAAGAAGCCTTTTTCAGTGCAAATGTTCTCAAGACTGTTTCTAAAAGTCTGTCTTCACAGGTATGCATGATAACAGAAACACTCACCACAGTGAATTACAACGTTCAGGTGCACTGGTACAGAAGATTAAAAGCACAGCATACTGACAACATATTGATTATACCAATAGCTGTTCAGAAGCTACATTCCCCATACAGAAGCGTACATAAGTGCATAAATTCAGATTTTACAAATATTGGCAATACAAGACAAAAAAATTGGGCAAAAAGCTTCCTATCCATCAAGCAACTGATCTTTAAAGTGTGTTCAAATGTGTTGGTCACACAATGCTCATGTTTTGTGCTAGTAAAGTACATCAATAGTTTACTCATTTTATCATGAATTAATATCATTGTTTGAGTAAAATATCCAATGATCATAGCATTATTGCAATGTGAGGCGTTACACGCCGCTAAGTCCCGAGGTTTACCAGGACGCATACTTTTACATGATCAGTCGTCTGTTGTTTGACATCCCGTCTTTTGGCAACGTCTAACTGGACTGGAAGCACTTCAAAATCCTGCTGAACATCCATGGTAAGATTTCAACAAAGTGAACTGCAAATAATCTTATAGCACAATAAAACTTCACATGTTTCTTCATTTATATGCATCATGGTAAATCAGTATCTTTTGCCATTGCATTGTTTTTTCTCTCATATGTTGTTTCATGTATCAAAATGCTCAGAGAAAAAACATTCAGGGGGGAAAAGCAATGAAATTTGAAATGTTTTCTCAGAAATCAAATTTGTTTTAAAGACCTTATAGACAAATAAGCGGTTTAAAGCGCAGATGGAGGTCATTCGGGGTCCTTTAGTGGATCACGCAGTCGACAAATCTAAAACTGTCCTGGCAAAGGTCAGAGGTGGATCAAAAGACACTGGAGTGAATGTGAAGTTAAGGCTCAGATCTACCATCATGTAACAGCAAAAGCTGCAGTAGTTTCCTGTGCTCTACATAAGAAGACAATTACAAGGACCAGACATGCAAACAAAAACAGGCACAGAGGAGTCATTTTAAGCTAACAAAAACAAAGCTGCCACAAGCGTCATCTTGAAAAATACAGGTGGGAGTATGGAGCTAAAACAGCAGCAAATTCCTTTTTTTATGTACATTTGAAGGCTGTGTGGGATGCCGTTGAAATGCCTTGGAAAGGTTTCCATATGGATGGCTAAAAGCACCAAAACATACAAACACTGCTATACTAACTAAATATAAAGGTGGAATGCTGGGCTTTCTCTTTTAAAAGGGTATTTCCACAAATAGGTACAGCAACTCTACGATGCAAACACATCCTCCACTGATCTGTCTTCACCAGAAAGAAAACAAACAGATGAATTTCAGATCATTTTTCACTTCAGCAGCACAGTCAGTACCAAAGGCTGACGTCATATCTGTTAAGTTGTTCCTCCACTGGCCCATTTAAAGTACGTTTTGGCTGCCTCCTTGACTTTCTGTGGATGATTAATGTAGCTGAGCCCAAGTGAAAAAAAAAAAATCAAAGTAATATAAAACATGCATGTTCTTCTTCAGCATGCAAACTCAACGCATTCTCTTTCCACATTTTGCACTCATGTCCTGAAACACAAAGAAATGCATGGGCATTAAAGCAAAAGGAAAAAAGAATCCAAAGCTAACCGGGGGCTTTCTTTCCGAGCACAAAGCACCGTGAGCAGTTAGTAGATCAAAAAAGAAGAATGTGGCAGTCGCTGTTTGATATGACCTTCAGTAGATCCGAGCCAAAACTAAAAGACATGGAAAATGTCAGAGTGTCTTCACATGTAAGAGATGAAAGAGAGGCAGAGTGAGCTGAATGAAGATCAGGACTCCTATAGAGGACTGCAGAGAATGCGCCCGTCCACACTCTGACGTGTTTTCCTGCAAAAAAGAGGGAAACGTTCATTCTCTTTTCCTTTTTTCAATACAGACAGAAAGAAAATCCACAATAAGTTCTTAATCACTGCCCTTGGAACTCGTTTCTACATCCAAATGTCAGGATTTGCTATATTTTTTAATGACAAAGTTTAAAGCATAAAAAATCCAATCATTTCCAAGACACAAATAATTACTCCCCAGTTAAACATCTAGAGCAGACACAGTTTACGGCTTTCACTAACAAAGCAATCGAGGAGATCTTCTGCAGCCTGAGTCCATCCAAATAGTGCCTGGAGGAGTTAACCACTGGATTCCTAAAGTCTGTGCTGAGCAGTTTGTTAGCACAAATCGCTCATCTAGTCCACATCTCACTTCAGACAGGAGCATTTCCAAAGGCCTTAAAAAGGTCTTTAAGCCTCTTCTAAAAAAGAGTAAACTTGCTGCCAAAGTACTGAACAACTACCGGCCCATATCAAACCTGCCATTCTAAGGTCAAGTCCTAAGGAAACATTTACATCAACAGCTGACAGACTTTTTTTTTTTTTCGTTTTTCTCTTTTTAAATTCTTTGTACAGCACTTTGAATTGTCTTGTACAAGACATGTGCCATACAAATAAACTTGCATTGCCGTGGCTTATTCTTTCACACATTACAATCTAACGTCGATCTCCAAACATGACGTTACTTTCATGTACTGTTGCTTCTAAAGGACATTCATGGAAAGTAACTTAGCAACTGTATTGGAAAATGACTGTAGAACTGAGTGTGGATGTAATTATTATGCACTTCATAATAGAAATATGTTACATTAAATGTCTTTCACTACTTACACGAATGAGCCCACTATGAGTTCAAGAATGAAGGCACAAAATTTCATTTCTGTGTCTACTCACTAAGGCACTGTAGTCAAAGCAGGAGGTTGGGCCTTTACGGTATCGTGCGTTGCTCAATACCTCACATGGATTTTCCTCTTGAACTGTTTGTCTTCAGTTAAAGGAGGTAACGGGGAACTCAACTGCCACGGATAATGGATGGTAGGTTCACTGTCAGCAAGGATGAAAACTGAAAGGATACACTCTGTTCTGACCTGCGTCAGCCTCTCGATCTCACAGGAGCTGCAGGGCAACGTCTCGGCCACCACAAAGAGCAGGTTGGTGTTTTCTATCCGCTTTGCGTGGAACAGCCTGCGGGAGACAGTGATTGATGCTAAGCAAACCCCATATGCACGGTGCAAAACTGAGAGCACAGAGCAAAATGATTTTGCTGACGTTCTAAAAAACACACACCGTGAGCAGTTTCCACAGTCTTGCAGCACATTGTAGGAGTTTGTGGTGTTTGTGAAGTAGAACTGGCTCTGGATGGTCACACAGCTGCTTTCTCTTGTCTCAAAGCCTTCAACCACGACATCGTCTAAACCAAAAAGATCAAATAATATTCCATTTTATATTCATGTGTTTTTTGCCAATAACATGTAGTTTCCCACATTATTTTCCTACATTATTTCTGTTTAAAGCTTATGTTTATATGATGGTAAATGTTCCAGTGCACACTCGACTGTGCTATATACTGAGCAAAACTCTATACTCAGATGTTTAGTGGTACAAATGAGATTACAATTCAGTTATGGTGATAGAAAAGTTGTATATGTGTCCTTAAAAAAAGATGTTTCATGTGTCACTTGTTGCTTAACCTTGGTAAAGCCAGCTGTTGTAGGCAAGTCCATACAGAAGCTGCTGGGTCACAGACCTGAGAAAGTTGTATGAGCAAGAACAGAGTTTATCCTAAGTAAACATGTGATACTTATGGTAATGCAATGCTTATTTGATGTGCAGACTTTCAGACAGAACAAAGGATGCAGTAAACAATGTCTAATATTGCTGGTTTTCTATGATTTTCTCACCATGCCACTGTGGACGTCCACCAGGCCAAGTTCAGGATGTCAGCAATGGACGGCTTTAGAAAAAGAGCACAGCCAGTTATTAATTCACAGTTCGGTGAAGTTGTCGTACATATTTTGTGAGTCTGATGTTGCTTCTCACCACAAAGACGCCCCTCGGTGCGGCGCCAGTGTGGCTGCTGCTGACAGGTTCACATGCAGACTGGAAGTGAAAAGACTGTAGGCGGTTGAAGATTGAGTTGTTGTAGAGGGCATGCATCAGGTAAGGGTCCACATCACCGAAGAAGAGCCCAATCTGCACAGGGATGAAAGGAAACACAGTTACAGAAGAGTTAAAGAAGCATTGGTGAATCAGCATCACAGCAAAAAAAAAAAAAGTTTATTTTTATGTGTGTGACAGAGGTGTTACAAACACTGGAACTTAAATAAACTGAATAAAAAAAGGCCAATGTAACCTATGGGATATTACAGATCATTGATATTTGGTGTTGATACATGAACATTGTTTAAGTGTGATACATGGGGACCATTTGGTCATTTTTTTCTACTCCCTATTATTTTCATTTGAGCAAAAAATGGGTCTGAGTTCTTATGGCTTAAAAAGCAGGTAAGGTTACCTTTTTCCAGTGATCTCTCTGATTGGACATGACCAAGAATCCACCATCATCTATCAGATAGCACAGGAGGTCCTGCAAAGGACAAAACATGGTTACAAAACTTGTATAACTCTCGATTATCCCTTTAGTTTGAAAGTTAATCTTGTTAGTCTTGATTTTGAATGAAAGAGGAGTGTTCATAACAGCTTTAATCAAACAGAGCCAGGTTCTGTGACACACTTTTGCCAGTGTCAGTAAGGCCTGTTTTATCAACTCTATAAAGAAAAGCTCTTACATCTGTGTTTACTTCACAGTCCATCTCACAGCTCCGTGATGGTCCACACTGTTGAGCAAATCAGACAAAAGACTTGGTAAGTTTTCACAACAACAAACACTGATTGACTGATTATTGACTAAAAAGCAGTGACTCGGAGTTGTACCTTGTGTGAGCCCTGCCGACTGTCTGACACATTGCTGGCAAGGATTTTAAACTTGTCCACCCAGGCCTCCAGGTCAAGTTTCACACCAACCACTGGTGTCCAAATCCACAATGTGAAAGAATAGAGAGCAAACAAACAAACAACATAAATCAAAGGAATCCATAATATATTAGAAATATTTCACATTTAAACAAAAATTGACAAGACATATGGCATGTAATATTTCTCACCTGCAGGTTTGAGCAGTTTACCTCCTAAATTAACCTCCACAGCTGAACTAACCAGGATTCCAACGGTGCCATTTTCTGCTCCAACGGTGTCATCAAAAGCTGTTCAGAACAAACGGATTTGATAGATTAGAAGTTAGAAGTTATACTGATAATGCTAATCATGTCAAAACAAATGCTTATTCTTTTTAATGCAGCAGAACCACAGCTGAATCGTGCAATCACACCAGGTCCATTTCCTGTTGAAACTAAAAGACTGAATGCCCTGAAAAGTTACCCAAGAGGCTCCACTTAGGCTCCACACATAGGTGGTGTGGTCAAAATGTTGTTCTGGCCTTAGGAAGAGTCCCAACTTCTGGGAAGAATTTCGGTGATGAAAGATAAATCTTATGTATAGCACAGTCTTAGGGTACTCAGAGCCTCTTGGCAGGGTGTTTTTTGAGGAATGTGTCCTTCGAGGTGAATTTAGATTTACCAGACAGGACTGCACTTCCTGCCTAGCTCTTCATTTCTGCAGGCTGAGAGACTGATTACTTCTGTGCGGCTTAGTCTGAGGATCACCTGTGCTAATCCTGGGCAGCATTTCATTTAAAGGTTTGTGCACCTTTACTTCTGATGTAATCGTGCTGCCAGAGCATTTGGGTCACAGACATGAAAAAATTATATAAACTTTCCAAAGGTTGCAAAAGAGTCTACTTACTTACTTTAAAAAGTAGAAGAACAAACGGTAGAAATAGTAAAAGGTGCAAAACTACATTTGTTGTTCCACAATAAACACAATAAGATTTTCCTGTTTCAGTTAACAGTTGGAGCATATCTGCTCTGCTACTCACAGGATCTCAGTGGAGGTCTGAACATGTAGCCTTTATTATCGAGGCTTCGTCGGTAGAAATTTGAATTAAAAGGTTCAGGATCCTCGTCCCACAACTCGGAAGCCCTGTAACAGTTCACACACACAACATGAGACATCTGAAAGTGCTTCGTCTCTCTGCAGAAGTACGTTACCTGTTTGATTAAGAAAATAATTTGAATCTCACTCACATGTTGGGAAAAACCCGTGTTATTCCTCCGTCTGTAGACGCAAATACCGCTAGGAAACCATACCTGCACAAACGCCTTTTTTACTTAGCCAGCTCGATGACAGCAGCTGTGAGAGCAGCTGTGTGTGCTGAGCAGAGCATCTACAAGCTGACTTACGCATTCAGGTCTTTGTTCTTCCATATGCGAGAGGCGAGCTGTCCAATTATCCTTGAATCTAAGATCAGGTTGTGGATGAGGCCTTGGTCACCTGCAACGCAAAACAAGCTGATGACGCCATCTTTGCTTGTGTGTGAGGGTTAGAGTGTGTACAACTACACTGTGTGAATTCACACACATTCATCAGACTCTGGGGAAATGTCCAGCATGAGAGAAAGAAAGTTCTGCAGAAACTCTGTGTTGTTGTCAGAAAGCTGCAGACGCTTGCAGTATTCCCTGCAGACACAAAAAGCATATATAAGCACCACTTTTTACATTTTTAGGTGTGAAGTCAGAGGAGAAAGAGATGTCACCTTGGAGCCAGAAATACATGTCCAGATGATTCAAAGGAGCTGGGCAGCAACGACTGCATATCTGTGAAGTAGAAAGTGAAAAATGCTTAATTTATTGTTTTTTCCTTTATTGATTGTTATGGTGGGTGCAGTGTCTCTGCACACTGGCTCACACTGAAGCTGCAGCATCACATCACTGAGGTCTGCCTGGATGTAGTACTCGTTGTAAGGCGGTAATACCAGGCCAAGACTGCAGGTGGCAGCATCCCAACACAAACAAGGCAAGAACAAAGAACCAAGATGAAAGAACTATCTTGCCTGAATGTATTTGGTCATAATTCATGATTAAAAACCCTGTATGGCCTCACCTGTAATCTGTGCCATTGATTGGAGTCCAGGTGTAACTTCTGTAGACATCATCGATGTATTGCTGCCATAACAGACACATCCATTTAAAGGAATGAAGACAAACTCTAGATAATCTTGTTATTCATATTTCAATGTGATCTTCTAAATGCACTTTTCCATCTTGAGATCTATATGGTAATATTTCCTGACTGTGGCCCTGCGATGGACTGGTGGACCGTCCAGCGTGTAGCCTGCCTCTTGCCTTGACTACTGGGATAGGCTCCAGCCCCTCCGCAACCCCATTTGGGAACAAGCAGTTCAGAAAATGGATGGATGGATGGATTTCCTGACATTTTAAAAATATTTAATGTCCCTGACCACTGCACTGTAAATTTAGTAATGACCACACAACCTAATACACTCGGAGAGAAAGCTCATGAGAGAATTCCAATCAACTTATTGTGTATTTATGAAAGACCCACTATAGGTCAAAATATGAGAACAGAACCTAATTACCACTACTAATACAAAAGTGCATTATTGTATTAATGTATTAGAATAATTGGGCAACTGGCTATGCCACTGATCAGCTCAAACAAGTAAGAATAGAACTATCAAAACTAGGAAAAAAGGATCTGTTGTACTGCAACTAGATCCACAAAAAGTCATGTCTGAAACTCCAAGCATAAAAAGTGTTGACTGTAGGTGAAGTGAAACTTCTGACTGATACTGCATGTTAAAAATATCCCTGTATCAAACTTACAGTCAGACTGATCAGGAGAGACAAGAGAATTAACTGACCTCATCAATTGACTTGATAAGGGTTTTAATCTGCATTTCACCCGGTCTTCCATCAATCATTTGTCGGCGGATCTGCATAATAAAAGACAAAATAGTTAATATGAGTCACAAACATGTTGGTTACCAGTTCCCAATCCAGACACTGAAGATCGTGACTGAGAGCCAGATAACATCTACACGCTGGTTCAGTTAAAATGAAAAATGTTTTATTTCAGTTCCACATAGTGCTCACCTCCTCTTTATTGCTGTCCTCCACCTCTGCATCCAGAAAGTCCAGAGTCACAGGTTCAGGAAGGTTCACAAGCTGATGGGAGGTTGAGAGAAAAAAAGACGAGTTAAGGAAACAAAACATTAAATTTAATATTTATGAGGGGCCACAAAAAATCCATGGTTCACCTTTGGCTGAAGGTTAGGATGAAGGAGCAGATATCCATTTGGATCAATGGCAAATATGTATCCATTAGCTCCAAGCTGTTTCGGACACAAAAATAAAGGCGTTTACTCCATTCCAAATGTCTCACCAAAGCTTCCTGGTACAAAAATAAAGGAGTTCTGTATACCATGCCAAAGAGTGCACATGTCACACCCCTGTTCACTGAACTGATACATAAAAGCGTCTGCTAAATGCATAAATGTAAATGTCCTGACTATATATGAAGAAAATTGCATTTCATGTGCACATACATTAAACCTTGGTGTCAGCCGCTTTATCTCATCGAGATGCACGTCGACTCCCATGACACCTAATATCAGCTGGTTCTGGTGTAAAAATGAGGGAGAAAACAATGTTTAGTTACTTCTATTACATTAGCTTCTCACTGGTGAGATAAACACAAATCTTGTAACCTGTGAGTGTCCCTCCATGGTGAGATTGAACACAGGTAGCGTCCCAGTTACAACCATGCCAAGACCCTGCAAAAACAAAGCTCCAATTTGTTCATGCAAATCAAAGTGCTGTGTTTTCTTTCTCTCTGTGTGATGAATAGATTTACTCCATTTGACCAAATGTCTCACCAGCGCATCCTGGTATACGTTAGTCCACTGAACCTGCTTGGCCTCACTGCCTGCCAGAACCATGGGGCGTCCCAGCACGTCAAGGTACTCCTGACCAAACACAGCAAAACGTGAGCGTCTGAAGCTTTTTCAACAACCGTCAGCATTAGGCTAACAATGGGTGTGCCAAAGGGTGAGGATGGATGCTTCTCTACAAAAGTGAGACAAAGCGCATGATAAACACTGATAGGGGATCAGCTGTGTCAGAGGAACTAGACAAACCCACCTGGGTGTTAATCCTTATAGCACAGATGGAGCGGATCTCAAAATAGTAACCTAGCGGGAGACAGAGAAAAAAAAAGAGAGACAAGAGATAAAAAGGCAGCTCATGTGTGAGTGGTTCTATCAGAGACATCACAGGGGAGCCGCTCATAAATATTCCAGATTTAAGTAGAAGTTACTAGAACAGTGACTCAGAAACTAAATATTTCACATATACATGTTTTGAGGATTATAGTTTGACTGTGCTCTCTCCTTGTGTTTGCATTTGTTCAGTGGATTCAAACTATTACCTGGAAGTCTAAAAGCTCCTGTGGAACCCAGATGCCCTTATCGGGCTATTAATCATACTGTCTGTGTGTGTGTATCAACGTATGCGGAAGGCATGCATATTTTGTTGCATTTGAACATTCTTTTCTGAGGAAAGTGATGCAAATATTTTGTAAAATATGATGAATTTTAAGATATTGTGTCTAAGTCCAAATGTTTCTTTTTTTATTTAACAGGTAACTGGAAATGGGTATCAAGTATAACTCAGCAACCCAACAGCAGGTTGGACCTGCTGCAGATCAGACCACCAACAGCTGTCTGTTCAGACAACGCACACAAAGTTCTGTACATTACATTAGAGTATTTGTAACAGCTGGTTGTAAAGTTTTGTTGGCTTCCTTTTTTTCTCTCTCTGTGCCTAAAGGATCTTTCTCCTTTTTGGGTTTGCTTTACTTTGCTCTTTTTTCTTCCCTGTCCATCTGTCAGGTTCGGCATTACTGAATGCATGTAAAGTTTTGCAACAGAAATATATAAATAAAGCAGCTTTGGATAATCAAGGGAGGCTTTTCACAAATAAAGCCTCCCTTGGCAAAGCAAATGTGTTCAGCATAGCACGGTACCCAGATTTAAGTTCTGCACCATAATGCTGAACAGGAAAATGTTAAAAAAAATGTTTTAAAGGAGAGTATTTTTGTTGGTTAAATGTTTTTTCATTGTTTACATTGTGTACATTATGACTATTTAATCACGTAAAACCTTTAAACTTATCATTAACTTTCTGGGGAGAAAACTGACGACACATATAACAGATGCAGTTCAGTTTGTACGCTAAATATTTTGTAGATTAGAAATTAAAAAGTTTAGCATACCTTTATTTGTGCAGGCAATCCACTGTAAAGGTGTGACATCATAGTTATGTTGACCCACAGAAAAGGTAAATACTCTCACCTTTAAGGGGGCGAGAAGAGACCATATTAATAAAACAGTGCACACTGTTCACACCTAGGAGGGAGATCGTTGTGGAGGCAACCATAAAACTGACTGTTTTGTTGGGCCAGTTGTACTGCATGAAGACATCCTGAGCTCTGTCCTCTCCTCCATCAGTAAACAGCATAATAATCTTATTGCAGTTAGCCCGTGGGACATTTGTCCTCTGAAAAATATGATGAAAATAATGCATTTTACACCAAAAACTGAGTAATGCAGTTGGTAATTACTTTGTACAAAAATATAGCAATAGTCCACTTACATTTAGGAGCTGATTAAAAGCAAAATGAAATCCAGATTTGTAATCGGTGGTGCCTTTGGCCTGCATCTGCTGCACAGCCTCCTTAAAGATCTTTTTGTTGCGCACATTAGCCTGGACTAAATGTTTGAAGCAGGGAACCACGGCCTCGGCCTTCTCGTTAAACTGAAAAGCAGAGGATCAAGCGGTCTGACGTAAAATATCAGAGGAGGACCAAATGAAAAGTGATGTGACTGATGGGGTACAATGACAAAAAGAAAGGACCTATACAGCTACCAACCCTTGCCACATTGACATAGTCATCATCAGATAGAGTGTCCAGCATTTCCATCACTGAAGCTTTGATGAGTTTGAGTGTCAGCCCGCTGACGCTGCCACTCCTGAGGAAACACAGAAGAAAAATACCCAACAGACATGTTGAAGTATTTCAAGATTCACTATCATTCTTTCTCCAGCTGTCTCATTAAATACACTATTTAATTAATCTGTGATGATTAATCCTTTTAAGTAGCCTTTCTCTCCTTTTCAGTATTTTGCTGTCAACAGGCCAGAGTAGTTTAGCACAAAAGCCAAGAACAAGATAAGAATATATAGATGGAGTAATGACAATGACACCAAACCGTATTTGAATAACACTAAGCTTTCATGTAAATGGCGAATGGACATGTGCTTATATAATGCTGTTGCAGTTGAACTGACCATTTAAAGCACTTTCCACAAGTAGGCTGTCAGGTTTCAGTCAAAAGCAATAATTTAAACTATTACTTTTTTATGAAGAGTTAGATCAGAGCAAATATGAAGCTACAAAAAGCAGCATCATAACTGAGCTTTGCATAGAGACATAGAAAAACACTTCCTGTACATTGGCTCTGTTTAAAAGTAAATAGATATGACCTACCATCAGCTTCAGGGCGCGATATTCATTTTCCTTTATATTACCAGCAATTCACTTCTGTCAGGTTACCTGTACCTACTTCCCCCTTATTCCAGTATAAGTGCAATTCCCAAACAGTATAAGCCCAAACAGCCAAATCAGGCTTATACTGATTATGTATATGCAATTCCCAAACAGTGCATTGCATTGACTTCCAGTCACAACTTCTTAATCTTAACTGAGTTCTTACACATCAACAAGGATGACCATGTCTTTAGGAGACGAAGCGCCCTGAATGTACCTGCGAAAAAAAGAGAAAGAAAAGCTTCAACCCTTTATATCTCTTGTACTTTTGATGGGCAACCGTGTCGATGTGTTCTAAAAAGCACACTGTACCAGGGCCTCCTCCTGACGTCATACAGGTCGATTTTATCAGGGGTTTTCCAAGGTGTTGCTGCAAAAAAGAAAAGAAAAAGCTTTTACCACAGCGCGTTCATGAAACCTTGAGGTTGACCACGTTCAGAGGTTCAGGTAACATATCTTTGCATATTTGATAGCAAACAGAGAGAGAGTGATGCTCAAAGATACCTGGGTAGTAGCGAGTGACTCCAGTTGCACTCCCAAAAGCCTGCCAGAGAAGTGAGGGGTCTTCTCGACTGTTCTCCATGAAGACTTTCTCCAGCGCCTGTGTCCAGTTAAGTTCATTCAAAATCACTGGAGCTAGTGGGGAAAAAAAAGGGAGACAGCAAAAACTGATGCACATGCTTTTTTTTCCAGACTGCTGCTGTAAAGCTGACATAATGGGAGCAGTACTTGCCTCCTTTATAAATATCAGTGGGAATCTGAACAGCTGTATAAGAATAGTTGACGTTATTTTTGAAGTTCGGGTCATACACAAACTCAAGCTTGATATGAGAGGGATTCTCCACTTCTCCTTCTCCATCCATGGAATACTGTCAGAGCAGGACAGAATATTGCTCAAACCGGATTATTTTTCATTATCATTAAAGCAATAAATACTGTTCGCTACACTTAGATTAGTCCAGTCTATTTGTCCAGCACTCACATAATCCAGCTCTGCCTTGGAGTCATAATAGGCCATGTCCAACTCCTAAAAGAAAGCAGATGGGAATATGAGGAGGCTTCTCTAACGACAGCTGTGTGACATGAGGACAAATAGTCACATGGATGCACTTGTCTAGTCAATCTCTCATTTGTCTGAAATAACATCATCGGGGTTTCAATGAGTTTTTTTCATTCATTCTGAAAATGTTTAAAAGATGCAGAAAATTATCCATATAAAACAGAAGGTTTTCAGTGTCTCAGAATCAGTTAAATCTTGTTAACTGACCTCCTACATGTAATATTAAAGTCTTTTATCTCACTGGTACCTGATTTTATGCAAAAGATGTAACAAATAAAAAGTTTTATTCTTAAACTGGAAATAAATTATACCTCCAATCTCTCGGAATAACACATAAGTTTAAAATTCTTTCAACAGAAAGATAAAAACTGTACATAGAAAACTATGCTCTAGTGCTAATTCTTACACAACAACATAACTTGCGATTATATAAAAAGTCAAAAGTCTTCCCATTTGCAAAGCCAAATGTATCCAATTATTCAGGACAGTTTCTGCAAGTGTCACATTATGATTCAGTTAACAGGCTGTAAGGCTCGTATGGAGCATCGCCATCTGTTAGTCTTAGTTTCTGAGGAGGCCTAACATACTTCAGACTTCTACTCTGAGGTGTTCCTATTTTTGGCCTGTTCTTATTACCAAATGTAATCTTAAGCGAACTCCTTAAACTGCATTAGAATAAAACAAAACCACAACAACTCTCTCAGGTTTATGCTTGTTTTCATGCAATGTCAACAACAAAAAGGAACGGAAGAACTCAGCCTAAAGGATAGAAATCCACATGCTGCCTTGTTGCATATATCAGAAAATTGATCAACTGTGTTGGAGGCCTGTGAACCTTTTCAGTGACAGGGTTAAATCAAGCATAACCAGCACAAACCTTTAAACTGACATTGGATTCAGTGCCTAAGAAAGTCGGTATGGGAGGATGAGGTTAACCCCATCTGGTTTTGCTGGGCAAACGAAGCAGACCAAGTGGAAAAGTGGAATGCCAATGTGTGTAGGGCTCAACAGAACAGCACGGATGAGCACACTCAGTCATCTGTTTCACAAGGCCGAGCACCCAGGGATTTTCTCAGCCGACTGGTGCGAATGTCCTGTCATTCTGGGGTCTTACTATCTATTGTTGTAGTGCTTACAGACACATGATATGAATCATCTTCATCAGCAAGTAAAGGTTTCTTTCACTGATGATGATGCGTTAGCAACAATGACATGATTAATGATTAATTAATACTGTTAAATGAACAAGAAGCTTAAATGTGTGCCATACCACATATATGCCTCATAGATGTCCAACTGAATGTTAAATGGTATTTTGTGAAATATTGTTTCTTCTGGTTTGTTTGATTATTGTTGTTTTATGAGATGTTCATATTTGATTTAATTTAACAGAGCTATATTATATTAATAACACAAATCACTGAGACTAAGTAATGAGCTCCAAATATTTAAATGTATATGATGGCTTTACCTTGATTCCGTCCTGCCATAGATGCTCTCGCTGGAGCCGCTCTGCTTCGCTGGCTAACCTCTAAATGTTACAGAGAAACAGACACATCAGAGGAGCAAATAAGATCAGATGCCTGATTTCTCCCATCAAATACTTGGAGCACAGTGAAGGTGACTAAAGAGTCAACCTCCATTTGCTATCGCATAGGAACTTTTCAGATAAAGTATGAATAAATTCATATTCTTATACTTTGTTTATTTAAAAATTTTATTTTGTATTGACGCTAAAACATTCCGCAGTAAAATAAATCCGGGGGAAATCTTTGTTACCTTTAAGTCAAAGACTAAATTCAGGGAGAACACTACACTCTTCAGAGATAACTGAACCGACATAGAAAAGAAGCTTTCAACTAGACTGAGAAGACATACTTACATCTAGTGCTTTGCGCTTTTTAGCCAGGAGCTTCTCTATATCCAGAGCCACTTTCTCCACAATCCTTCGTGGCTGATTCTTCACCAGACTGAAGCGTCGTCTTTCTTCATTGTATATCTGTGCATTTTTGATGGATAAACAGAGTTGTCCAATGAAGAACACTGCTTTTGTCTCTTCTGAAAACAAGTGTTTGAGTTCACATAAGGAAATGCAGCACTTTTGAGTAAAGTTTCAATGTTTGAAAGATAAAAAGATAAAAAAAAGGGGTCTAATGTATGTGACATATTAAGGCATTTCTAAGGCTGTGAAACATTGTAAATGTGCTATAATATCATATAAATGTGCAATAAAAACATGACCTACATTAAAAGTTGCCCAAACACCCAAACCGGAGCAGTTCGCACAGCAGATGGTGACTTACTTTATACTGAACCACATCACTTTTCAAAATTTATCCTTTCCATGATCAAGTTCTAAGGACACAGAGGAACAATCATTTGTTGTGCTTGGTTCAGTCTAAATCTAAATATGGCTCCTTTCATCCGAATGAATTCATGCACAATGTCTATAGTTTTTCATCTAGTTTTCCCTGAAGTCATTTGTTTGTGGAGTTTGGCTTATTTTGTTTGGAATTTGGAATAATCCTAAAAACACCACGTGGGTGGTATGAAGTCAAAACAATATTCAGTTAAGCCTTTGTCATACATGGAATGAGTATTTTGGTAGATAAAGTTATTTTTAAATAAACAGCTCATGGACATTCAGATTGTCTATGAATCAGTGGGGAAAATATGCTAATTTTGTTCCTAAATGACTGTGTTGATGGTCTAATTCAAAGATACCTTTAAACTCGCAAAGCATTTCTCTAGATTTCCTTCGATAATGAAAGCATTATGGCTCATTGGAAGACATGAAGGAGTTCCACAAATTTCCTCTTTTACTTGTTCCGGTTCAGTTCTACACATATTTAAAGAACTACGTTACAACGTCTTAAGTGACTGAAGAATTTAAAGAGTCCCTGGCACACAATAGAGAACAGCTTTCCCTTTAACAGTCAAAACTTGAAAACTAGTGGTTTCGGGGTAATTGGAGTCTCTACCTCGAGACGAAAACATCAATGAAAAGATTGTGAGGAGACCAGCAGGGGGTAGAGTAATCTGAGTGAACCTGTTTGGTACAACGAGGGAAGGCTTTCCCTTGATTTAGACTACTTCATAAATGATCTTTTTTAAACAGGGGTCTTTTGTCATATCTTCACTACGTTGGTGGATACTGTTGTCGTCTTGTGCAGCTACTTCAGTAGAGCTCACTTCAATAATAAGGTGATGAGCATAAATCAGAGCCTGTTAGTTTCAAATGACTTCCCAACCGTATGGCAGATGTTTGCCTTTGTGCCCTGGGGAAGTCATTTAACATTTGCTAGTCATGGCCTTTTAACGTTTGACTTATATTCTAATCAATATTTTCACACAGGGAAGTCAAGGCAAAAAAAGAACAACAAAAATCTTGCCATTTTACAAATCGTCACACAATAGCTCCTTCGTTTAACATTGGAACGAATTTAAAATTGAATCGTCAAGGGAATCAATAAAAGGTTGTCTAATACAAACTAAATCTCACTAGAAACACCTTCCAAACCAGGATGAAAAATCTCTTGAACGGATATTGAGTGTTTCGATTATGAGGAGGGATTAATGTGGATTGAGTGAAGAAGTGAGTGTCACATCCAGGCATTACTGCGGGCTGACCATCTGCTCTGCTGTGACACAAAACAAAAAGGACACGTGCCGCTGCTCTCTGCTGAGGAAACGCCTCCACACATCTCTCCAGAGCAGACCTCTTTTGCCCCCTGCAGATGATCTGTGGTCCTGTTTGTTGGCATTGGCCTTTACACAAACAACTCTTCCAAGTCAGGTGTTACTGTGGGCATGGGAAAAACTGAGTAAGCACCAGCTGGGATTTCAACCATTCTTTCTAGGTTACGAACAAAGTAATGTTTGCTGAAGACCATAGACATCTGAGACCTAATCGTGCCCCTTTTTCTAACCAAAATAAAAGGTTGTTGCTCCATGTCACAAAAGACTCATGGGTTTTCATTGGCTGTACCCTACTCTTGCCCACAGTCAGCAGGGATAGGCTCCAGTTCACTCACGACCCAACTAGGAATAAGTTACCCAGACCAGGTATGGATGGTTGTTTTCACTATTTGTTTAGCTATTGTGAGATGCTTGTCAGTGAACACACATTTCTCCCAAAGGAATATATAACCTATATTTCACATGTGATTTATACCAAGGCAAAATTTAATGTGCATCATTTATTTATAACACTTATCATAGAATATAAGCAGAAAATGTATTCTGTAACAACAGACTAAACAATTCAATTCCCGTGTGAGTACAGTGTAGAAACTCGTAGGTTACATATCATAGCTCATTTCTGAAACATGAATGAGCGTGAGGACTCTGCTCACGCATTTAGTATTTATGAGTATTTTTGCCTGATTCACACTCAGAAAGCCGTGTGTTTGAGATGTGGGCTTTGCTGATCTGCCTTCATTAACGTCATTGCCTTCCTCTGCTGTTTTATCCACAGCAGAGGAGTTTAGGTTAGTTATGGGGGAGGTTAGGGCAGCTTATTTCATGCTAAACAACACAAACCTAGCAAAAATGTAAACAGGTTAGACTGAACGCTGTATTTAGGGGTTTTTACACTGTGGCACTTGACCATGACAATGTATCTGCAGTTTTAATCTATGGAAGTGGAGTTACTGATGTGTTGATTAGGCCGGGAGGTACTGGGGCTTATACATGTTGGTGTTGGTCTTATCATTAGACACTGAGAAGGAAATGCCTTTTAGCTGGTCCAATTGAATGTTAATATGAAATCAATGGGCTGGAATGGACTCTACTCAGAAGTCCAGCTACTGTAGGGAGCCCGGAATCCGATTACTGTAATTTATGTACTTTACAGTAAACACACATCCGATGTCAGTACATAATCATCTCCAATGGAAAGCTTGATGAAGAAAAACCTTTCATTGGCACAGAAGTTTAACTATCAACATACAACAGCCCCTGTATGATCAGCTCACGAAAGGTCTGAGATATTCATGAATGTAGGAGTTAATAAGCTTGTGCCTTCATGAAGGATGGTGTCAGATATTCTAAATCTAACCACTGTGGGTGTGTGTTCAGGGATCTCTTTGGTATCGCACACAACAATGCGTGCAAGACTCATTATCATATCATAATTATTGCAAACAGCACACATAGTGCCAGCAAAATTTGGCTGCAACAATTTAGATTAAAAAAGAAAAAGCATGAAAAACGTCTGATTTAAAAGCCATTTGGGAGTGTTTTATTTCTGTTCCAGAAGTAAAGAAAAAAAAATGTTACTGGCTGTGCAAGAGGCCACAACAAGTACAAGGAAAATCGTTAAAAAGATAAATAAATAAAGACTGCAGCGCACTTTGACTGTTTTCTTGTTTTATGCACCTACTTACATCCAGCTCTGAAACTTAATGGATTTGCAGCTATTTAGCAGACTGACCTCTCTCTACTCAATGCATTCCTTATTGAGTTTATGCCTCACATTGATGAGTAAGTCTGCAAACCACACACTCACCCCTTTCAACTGCTGAGCTCCAGAGATGTGCTGAAAGACTCTGTCAATCTCCTGCTCGATGCGCCGGGCCCAGTGCATTATCCTGTGGACAAAGATTGCAGGCTGACTGTCAGACAGCACAAAACAGATTAACAGATATGCACATGTTTGCATATGAGTTTCATAGTAATCTGTCACAAATAGCAGTTCTCTGTGCATAAATCAAAACACATTTTAGTTTATTTAGTTTTAAAGGTTATTTCTAAAGTAACACCGACTATTTGTGACTACTATGTGTGACTATTTGTCAAAATATGCTTCAATATCAAAACCAACTACTAATCAAATAGTGAGATAATGTCCTGAGAAAGGACGACAGGGTTATACATAAGCATTGATAACAGTATATTCTTTATTAATAAGGTTTGGTGACTAATGATCAGAATTTTTAGAATCTCTAAAAAGGAATAACACCACCACTCATTTTAAGAATGCAAATAACTCTTAAAGTGTGATAAGGCTGCCATAACACCTTCATGAAACTGGATGCTCTCAAATTATCCACCAAAATAAAGCGACTCTTAGCCCGACTGTCCCACAAGTTAAAAATTCAACATGAGATACATAAAGAAAACTACGTAAATCAAACAAATAGTCACTTTTTCATGACTTTAGAATGTATATCATGACCATGATTGAGTTAAGGAAGGATGATATGCCTGATGTATTGTTAGATATCTATCTAAAAACTAAATCAACTAACTGGGCTATGTCCTTTCTGGGGCAGAATTTCTGCCGCAGCACTGCTGAAAACTTCCGCCCCTTGTCTCAGTTTAAGTGATGAAAAGCTCAATGTATCAAAATGTGTGTAAATGAAACAGAGGAAAGCAAACTAGCTGATTATAAAATGTCCTTCAGCTGCATGTTTGTGTAGCAGCGGAGGTTTCCATGGTGATTAAGTGCAATATTTGGAGCGGAGTGAGACTGAACATTCACTCCAAGTTTGCCTTAAAATGTTGCTATTTAAAGAAATCATACAGTTTACTCCTGTATATATTGCGTTTCATGCCCTTAGTAAACCCATTCATACATATCTTATTATGGAACATACCTATGTTATCTCCCATGTCACCAGCATTGCTACCCTAAAATAATTAAATTAGCTATTTCAGTATAAGACAGCACATGCTAACTGTGCCAAAGTGTTCAAAGCCAGGTTGTTTATTGTTGTAAACAACAAGATATACCTGATAACAGCCGGCAGAAGACTACATAAGAATAGTTTTGACTTATCGCATGGTAATAAATTAGGAATATTTAAAAAAACATTTATTTTTTTATTTTCATATTTTGTTGATGAGCCAAATAAAAACTACAGGAAAAAAAATCTTGGACCAGGCTTTAACGGGTGTGAGTGTGAGTGATGATCCACAAGTTAACAGAGGTTCTTTAAAACCAACAACTATTGTGTCAATGTTGCATATTTCATAATCTGTCCAGATTGCATTAGTCTATCAGCAGGAGACACCGAAAACGGATTTCATGAAGGCAGTAGCAATAAACGTTCCTGTTCAGCGGCCTCTCTTGACTGCTTCAGTCTTAATTCCTTTGCTAAGTCGTGTATGTATCTTAGTTTTCAACCTGCTTTAGTTCAACCAGGAAAAAAATACACTCAGAAAATCACCCTGAGTCCTATCAGTGCCCAAAGACTGAATTCATTATCCATCAGACAGCTCCCGACAGAGCTACGAGACAACATCCCCGTTTAAAGCCTTGTCGGGCTTGTTCCTGCTGTCAGAGGAGAAACAAATCTCCACTCAGCTGCCCAAAGCCACATTGATACACAACATTTTAGATGCTATGGAGCGTTCTTCCTTTGTTTTGTTTTTAGTAAAGCTGAAATAGTAAGCTGAGAGCTGATGATGAAAAACCGGTGCTCACAGTCTTCACACTTCTCTTTCTCTGGATGGATTTTTTTGTTTCTAGAAAATGCCAAACTATAGAAAACAATGAGAAAACTAAGCTTTGTGTTGTTTTGTGCAACTAAGTATCAAACTCTCCCCATTTTAGGATATGACTGAGTTGCTGACAATGTGTCTACAAAGCACTATTTAAAAGTGAAATCATTCCCAGCTTCAGCTTGATGCTAATAAAACATAATCACAGAAATAATTACAAAATCAATAACAAAGGAAATCTCAACTAAAAAATTTCCAGTTGATTCATTTGAAGAGCTGAAACAATCCCAGACATGAATTAAATCCAACCAGCCTTCAGGATTTTATAACAGATGGTTGTTGTCTTGTGTTATTTCTAAAGAGATCTACAGACAAAATACTGGCTGCATTCGAGATGAGACAGCGCAATTTTCATACTGAAGAACATCAGATGCTCTGGATGCTTCATTAACTCAAATGTACCATCTGCACCCTACACGTCCTGAATCTGCAGCAAAAAACGCACTTAGATGTTAGTGTCCTCTAACTAACTAACTTAATCAGGCTACATTCACATTACCGGGCTTTACAGATTCAAATCAGACTCTATCCACTTATGGATTTTATTAGATTTGTGTCAAAATCTGTAAAAGTCTTAATTAGCTTGTCCAGATAGGTGTGTGCTGACTGGAGTGATGAACGCAGCACATATTCAAAGTTTTCCTGGGATTTTCGTTTGTCTGGGGGCCTCCTATTGAAAGATGGTGGCAGATGTTTGTCCAATGACAGTTTAGTTTTTAAAACAATCCTTAAAATCAAACAAAGTGTCTTTTCAGATTTTTTTTGTTGTAATTGGAGACCCCATTTTGCCTGTATTTTACCCTGCCTTTACATAATGACAGTTGCTATAGGCTGAAACCCAGATTGATGCAATCTACAGTATGTTTGATGTAGACAAACTAAGCTGTTGGGATGCGGAAAGTGGTGAAGAAAAATTGATTGGTTAATAAAGTTAAGGAGGTACCCTATAAATGCAGTCCATACTTTCAAATATTATTATACACTGTACCAATACGATCATTTCTGGGAGGACAGTAGCTGGCATCAATTTCATCTGATGATTTTATGTTCCCATCTACCATTATAATATAGTAACTTATGGATCCAATAACTACAATGCACTCACCAAAGGCTAATGACATGTTGCCTACATCTACCTCGATTGCCCTTCACATTTCTTATCTCAATTGTTCACTGACATTACTCCTACCGGTGGTTCGGACAGGAAGGTGAGCCATCCATCATGGTTTTCCGTACTGTCCTGCATAAAAATCAAGGTGCTATCTACTTTTAAACTGATACGCTGGATAGTCAGTATTGTCTGAAGACAGAAATCAGTGACCTTTTCACAGCACATGTAAATGAGAATCTCTAACTAAATCAGGTTTTGTGCTATTTGTGACCAAAACTCAACGGAACTGCAGAGCAGCCTCTAACGGCAGAACAAAGTACAAAGCAGATTTTTTTTTTAAATTGTGCGCTCCATTTCCTGTCCTTTAACCCCTCTGGGACATCAGAAAGCTCTGTATAACTGAGCAGCAGCGGAGGGTTTGAACAGCAAAGCGCACCCTTCTGTTACCTGGTGTATTCATACATCTGAGTGAAGAAAGACGGTGCTACAACTCGATGTGACCTACATTCACTAAAGACAGAGAAAGAAGAGATTTGGAAAGGATGAGCATCAGAGGTGTCGGTAGAACACGCAGAACAGAGGGGCTTTATTCAATTCACTGTCAGTGTTAACGTTTTACAATTTACAACTCCATGATACCAAATGTTCTTTCACGCTTCTATTTGAACAATTAAAAAAAGGCAGTTTAGGTTTAAACACTCTGCTGCTTTTCACTATTTCCCTGTTCAATCTACACTATTATTATATTAAATGAACAGAATACACCAGAAATTCTAACATCAAAGGGTTTTTCATTTCACTGACATATAGAATGATTTGGTTTTTTAAAAAGGAGGATTTTTCACGTCTTTTCACACCATAAATCAACATATGTTGTCAACAACCGAAAAATCTCTTTTCGCCCATGTTTTGTGGAGTAGAATGTTACATAAATCATACATGAATAATGTATGAACAAGCTCACTGTGGAAACCTTCAGAATACATAGGGATAAAACTAAAGAGTTGAAAGCGCCACTGAAGTAGAGATCTGGCTCAAAGTATAAGGCTTTTTAAAAAAATCCTCTTCTTTATTTATTTATTATTTGAAATCATGGTTCAAAGGTAAGTAGACTTCACAGTGAATCATCCAAGTGTCATAAGGTAATGGCAATATTGCAATGTTATCAAATGGAGATACTTCACACAAATTTTTAAAGGCCTCCAAATTACTACCTAAAAAATAACCATTCATCCGATGAGACAGTAAAACGTTAATTTACAGGAGAAAACTGACAAAAGCCAAATGGATAAAGGGCTCCATAGGATTTTTTTAGTCGCTTTAGTACATTTTTATTTTTCTTAACACAGGATAAAATGTATGCTATTTTCTTAGCACGGGAATGTATTAATTTGCATTTGACAGTGAAGGAAGACTCCTGGCCCTCAAACGGTATTTTTATTAAGCGTCCCTGATCCCAAACAGCGATTTGCACAGTTTATTATTCATATTGCACTGTATTAGGCTATTGTTTTATTAGTGCTTTTCAATTTCATTTCAAGCCCACAGAAAAATGCACAGATTTTTCCAGAATTTAGCATTTTTTATGCTAACAGCTTTTAACGAAATGTACCAACAACACAATAAGTTACCTTAATCTTTTACACACTGCATTTGCTTCACTATCAGCTAGAAAATAATACTGATTTGAAATTTCATCCATCTATCCATCCATCCATCCACCCCTGTGTAGACTGGGATAAATAACAGAGGAGGTGGGGAAAAAAGGAGAAGTGAGAGTAGGAATAAATCCAAACCACTGCAGTATTAATTCTTAATTGGAATGAGTTGCTGTTCTTCAGAGTAGCGACTGTGCTTCATTTAGCTTACATGAAGCGACCCAGGGCATAGAGCTATGTAGCTGTTTTAGAGCACTCAGCAGAAAAATCAGCAGAGGGAAGGAGGAGGAGGAGGAGGAGGAATAGAAAGGAGCAACGAAACCCAATTTCAAATAACCCAATTCATCATATAACTCACACACACGCATACACGCAAACACATGACCAGACAGCCAACCCTCCCTGATACACAGAGCCGATATTCAAGTGGTAAATACATCTCCCATCTCCAGCTTTGATTGGCCCAAAAAAAACCTCAACTATGTACCCTGAAGATGAGAAGATGAGTTGACCATCTGGCCCATTCCTCCCTCTAGAGCTGCCCGATTGCTAAGCCTGGAGGAGGGCCCAGATAACTGTAGTCCAAAGAGAAATGCCAGCTGCACTCAACATTAAAGGGTTAAAGGTTAAGAATAAAGAGCTGCAATTGATTAAACACAGGCAAATGCTAATTCCAGTACAGATTTAACCAGGGACAGAGAGCAAAACCACACCTTGTTCTTCTGTGTCTCATATTTCTGAGTGTTTTAGTAGGCTGTTGGTGTGGTGGTAGCTATAGCAGCAGGATTTACTCCAAATACAGAGAGGAGAGTGACAAATGTGTGTTTGCACATCTGCACTATAAGAATATTAACTGCTGGTGCACATGATAAGTTAGGATAGCAGGGCAACAGTTTTATAAGTATAATGTTCTCCTGTTTCCTGTCAAAAAGACAAAAACATCACTGTATCACCATGCAGATTTCTGTAACACACATTTCTTCAGATTCAACAGTGGTACTGAAACAATAAGTATTATCTTCAACTGTATACATCGGATTTGTGGCCATATTTGTCAAATTTGTGTAGCTGGTCGTGAACTGAGCACCAAATGAAGGCTGTAAGTCATCAGATGGTAATGAAAGCATGAATCATTGGCCAGATGCAACTCATTTTGCCAGACAGCGAACATAACTTGATGAAGACTTTTATGACGGGTTTATAATTGAAAGCAAAACTAATATCTGCCTGCTCACATTTCCCGGCAAACGGTGCGTAAATGAGCTCGCTCAAAGATTGGACTACATCTCTGAGAGCACGGATCTCCAAACGCTCCGCGTTCACACTGATGGAATCAACAACAGCAGGAAATTATGTAAGAGTGAAAAAAATAAATAAATAAATAAATCAAACTGGTTGATATGAGTATCTCTTAGTAACAGAGCTGAGTGGCTGAAGCCCAAAGTTGTCTCCCACCGGCGCCCGGCTGCGTTTTTTCCAGTTACTTACGTGTATTGCTGTGGGAATGTGAGCCCCTGCGCTCCAGGCCACGATGCGCTGAAAATCAAGATAATCTGGATAGATACCAAGCAGACGATGCTGCGAGACCTTTCGCCTATCGCCATTTTCCATTAAAAAATGCTCGTCTCTGGCTTTTGGATGAGTGAACGAGGCGCTCTCGGCTGTCTCAGAGGGATCCGGCCAGCATGTGTGTGTGTGTGTGTGTGTGTGTGGACGTCCGGGCTCAGTCTCCCCAACACTTCATGCCGCTTTCTGCCGTCAAGTGAAGGAGGGAGGCGGAGGAAGCAGGCGTCGGTCGCAGAGGCATCGCGGACGGTGGGAGATGCACTAATGCAGCTGCCAAGACACTGCAGAGTCTCCCCTCCTGCTCCCACACACACACACACGCGCACACACACACCACCACACGATCACACAGGCCGGCGCGTGCCCGACAGCTCCCTCTCCTCAGCAGCCCGTGGATCCGGGCGCGTTCACGCTCACCAGGCAACAGAGGAGCAGATGAAGCATCTAGTTTGCCTTTATTTATCTCTGCGGAGCCACGTGGGATTTGTCATCGCCATATATTTAGGATTTCTGACCGCGAGCTTGTCTGTGTGGGTTTCACTGAACCAGGGGGCTCAGCGCTAAAGATCAACTACTTGGAGATCTGGTTCACGTTTTGTGGGCCATTTTTTTTTTACCCCTAAAAGGATACGCCATAGATTCCGGGCCTTTGTGCCATATGTGGCTCTTATCATGTTGTAACCAGTGCAAAATCAACACATAACTGGTGTCATTCCCAGTTACTGAGCCTCAGACGGATCAAAGTTAAATGTGCTCTTACTTAGTACTTAATGAAACAAACACCAAACATGGGCTGGATCAAGCCCACATGTGTCTGCAATCTGGGTGGACGGAACAATATGAAGACTCTCCTTAAACATATATTATATTAAACACATATTATCACCGATCAGACTAGCATCTTTCATTAAATATAACTGAATAGCATACAATACAATTATTATTTATTTATCCCTCTGTGAGCAAATCCTCATGTGTCACTAGTGTAGTGACAGCCATATGCCAAGAGATACAAAATATTAGGCTTTTTGGGCTTTAATGTTTTGGTAACAGTAGCTGCTACATAAAAAATAACATATTACATGCATCAGTGCAATTTCTTTCGATATTGCATTGTGATTTATCACTATTATGGTGTTTGACAGCAGGAAAAAGCTGCAGGTATGAGAATTGTTACTAATTTAAGGTGGCATTCAAATATGTTTTTCCGTTTTGGTTTCTTTGGTGCATCCTTTGGCCTTTGAGGTTTGGGCTCACTCTTTTTTCTTCTGTGCTTACTCTGTTTATTTACTGAAGTGCTTCCACTTGCTCACAGGCTGGGCTCCAGCTATCTGTCCTCTCCAAGCACCCTCTGCTAAAAAAGACCAGGCTCAAACGTCACCACCTGCCAGATCATGGCCATGCCTGCCTGCTCCCTCTCATTATACCCAGAAATCATTCTTGCACAGATCTCCCAGTTGATAGCTGTTTCAGCCTATCTCTCCCAGCACCCACAGAACAACTTCTGTGACCTAAGCACCACCTATTTCTGTCAGCATGAGACCCATAGAAGCACAAATGAAAATACCTCAGTAACTCTCTGGTAAACAGGACACTAAGGGCAACTGTAAACAGCTTGCCGGCTGTTTGGGCTCTCATCAACACAGTGTTTACCTCTTGTTTGCAATGAGAGCTGTTCATTTGGAAGGTCCACAGTGTGTCAGTTTCTCAGCTTTGACAAAATTCAGAGGCAGTTAAGTACAAAAATTAAATAGTTTTTATCGGTCCAGTTTGGTTTTTGTGGCTGAGCCGGTATTGGATACCATATCTGAAAATCACATAAAATAGCTGCACAACCATTTTTCGCATTATCACATAAAAATGTATGAAAACTAGACAAAAAAAGACTAAACAGAAAGAAACGAACATGATTCACCTATCATGTCCCTTTACATATGTACTGCAGTCAAATAGATCACAACTGAAAATATATATATTTGAGAAAGCAGCTGTGTTATAAACTTAAGAATTAACTGTATTTTGTCAGCTGAAAATGAATTAAAAATAGAACTATATATTTATGTCACAAGCTTCACTGCCAATATGGTACTTCTTTGTAAAAGCAGGTTTTTCTTTAAAAATGATTGTTATTTTGAGTCTTTTAAAATAGTGCACAGCAGGATTCAACCTTCAAAGCTCCTCTGCAAAGAGCATTTCTAGTTTGTCTGGGTTTTTCTTTCTGTCTGTCTTTTTACATTTATTGTGTTTCTTTCTCTGTTGGATTTTCTGGCAATTTTCAGAGGCTCAAAATGCGAAAGCTATATGGAACACAAAGACAACAAACTGCTCTGGCCACTGTATGGTGTCTATTGAACTGCAATCTCTGACAGACTACAATTAATCCCTATTCAGTGGAGGATCTCGTGGCCATCACAGAAGGCTTTGGCTGTAATTACCACCACAGAACAGTTGCACTGCAGAGAAACACAGCTGAGCGAGCTGGTACTCTGATCTCAGACTTACACTCTGTATGTTCCCTCAGTCACTGCAGCATATCAGAGTGTTGCCAACTCTCCCCAGAGGCAACAACACCACAGTGAGATTTGTTTATTTTCATTTGGTGCTATGTAGATTTTTTCCCCCATTGCCCACATTGGTTTCATCACATAAGACAGTGCATGACGCGCCAAACCTTGGAGTGAACAATTTGATTGATAAGCTGTAAAGACCACAGCAGGGTGTGAGGAGAGAGCGCGTGAACCAGGTTAAATCTCGGCATGTGGGAGAGCCTCCCGCTCAGATTTTTCTTTACAAAGCCATGAAGCGTCACCCGGATGCTGAGTATTATCCTCACATATGACCAAGGAAACAGGAGGGGAGCAACAGTTGAGCACTTCTCATATCCACTGGAATTATGCTGGTTTCAGGGCAGAAACACATGGCTGCCGTGGGACACATTTGTTCAAGGTTCTCCTGACACATAAGAGCCCATGCCCGCTTGTTCTTAAGGGAAATTATAGGGAATGGACATTTAAAAAAACTGAACTCCATATCTGACACTTAAAAAATGACATTTTCAGGCATCACTACCAACTGTCAAAGATGTGTAGTTTGCATAAGTTCCATAGGCCAGTTTTTATAGTTATTTTTAAATGATTTAAATGGCATGTTACACCTGTTTCACTCTGGGTTCTTATGGGTTAAAATAATAAAACAGGGAACCTGTCTTTGAAAAACTGTTAAACTGCAACAATGTGTTTTCACAGCCAGGCATCCGCTCGTAAGACAGTCCATGGGGTGAGTGCACCTGCCCCCTCTGGGAGGGAGGATGTGGGTTCAGCTTTATTCGTCTCCCTGATGGCCCCATGTGGTAATGCTGCTGTCATGTCCTGGGGAGAGAGAGGACTAATTACTGACTTCACAGCCGTCCTCACAGCCCCCTCTGAGATTCATACACTCTTAATTGGAAGACAACTCCAAAGAGAGCTGAGCCGTAGATGAGACCGACCTTAACACAACATAAACAGCATAAAAAAATCTAATATGGTTTTATGTCCTCTTTCCCAGATAAAACCTCTATTTTACCACATTCTTCATGATAAGTATTCTTCATTTTACGTTTCAATGATTTATTCTATTTGAAGAAAACCATTAAAAAACCACTCCGCAAAGAACCTGGGACCTAGATTTACATTTGATTCTGTGAGTTATACAATTTATTTCTGAAAAATATCAAATGGATCCATCTCTTAGATATTGGACATTTAACTGAAACATTAACTCAGCAGCACAAATGTTCTCCTTCCTTTTGTTTGTTCCAAACCTTGTATCATGTTACATTAAAATGTAATTAAAATATGTCATCAAAATGTTCAATAAAATGAAACTATGGCAAACAGGTTACTTTAAGGGCATTTCAAGCTTGATATTTGTACATATGGGTGTGTGTTGGCTGGACTCACAAGCCAAAGTCGATCCAGTTTATTAGTGATCATGAAGTGCACCTCACTTATGGAGTCAGGGATTGGAAAAGTCACAGCAGATATCATTATCTATCCCTCAAGCAGATGGCTGAATGAAAACTAAACGTCTTTGTTATAGAGCGTCTGAAATTCACCTAAGCTGTTCTCATGCTTCTCAACGTAGTGTTTCTTTGTGAGAGAATTTAGTCATTTATGCTTTGCATTTCCACAGATATCTGCTGTAGTTTTTCTAACTCGGGCTCTAAAAAAATGACAAAAAAGAACCAATTGAATTAGCAATTGAAAGTTTATTAAATAAGATTCTATCTGTGGAATCGTAATTTTTAATTAATCAGTAATACATTTGATATAAGTAAACGTAATATTCACATTGTAGGAAGTTGATTCTTCCATATTAGTGAAAAATCTTTTTTAACACTTTAAATGTGTTTTCATGTTAGACTACATTCACACAAACCCACTCACTCGATGTTTCCATACAGTTAATCTTGTTGATGAAACCTGCTACAACACCAAGTAATGCACTGCACTGTGCCTACATCCTGAGAATATTAAGAGCACCAAAGCTAAAGTGCTCAATTTGGCTTTATGATTCATACGCTATTCTTTGGTTATCTCTCCTAATTTCTCAAGTTTAAAAATGATATTATATGTGAAATGTGTTTCAGTGAGCATTCTATATGAGAACTTGTCTAAGCTTCATCAGGTAAGGCAGCGACGCTGGTTAGAGCCGGAATGAGCTTCTCATACACCGCGATTCCCCTCAGGAAGACGTGCTCATTCAGATACTCGTTGTGATCGTGCAGCAGAATGGGGGTCTGGTTCATCGGAGAAAAGCCAATAGCCGGAATACCCATCTATATTTGTATAACAGACACAAGTTCACATCTTAAACCTCTCTTCTCTGTCTCGAACATTATGATGAATATGTCAATCATTGCACAGCCACAGAAAGTCCACATTGCTATTCTTATACTCACCGCTCGGATGAAACGGCTGTCTGTGGCAGCTGGAAAGATCTCCTTTTCTAAAGTCACATTCCTACAGCACAGACATTGACATGACACTTGGTATGCACACTATAAAAATAGCAACTTTTGGTTAAGATCTACTGGGAAAGTGCAACTTCCAGAATGAGAAACAGCCTACATTAGGGCGGTTTATATCTCAAAATTCAAAGATCTCCCTTTTCCAGTGAAATACATATACCAGGCAAAAGAAAAAAGTTAACCTTCACAGATCCTATAATGAACAAAACTGCAACAGTTGCTTCTAAACAGAGTAAAAGGAATAGTCTGAGTTGGCAGCTGATGTGTGAAAACCCATGGAGGGAATACTTTTTAACGGTTGTCTGAGCAGAAAGACAAAAATAAACAACATAGAATGAAAGTCAGTTATAGATAATATAGAAGCCAGTAGATACAGAACCAAAATTAGCACACAATGACACAAACAACAGCAGCTGAACTTTTCTTTCTTTTATATAGTTATAGTTTATGTGATTTACCTGATGCATTTTTGCTGTTTTATATCCAGTAACACAAGATTTTCAAACACTAATAACATATGGATGTGCTCACATTAGCTTGCAGGCAGTACTGAAGGCGCTCCACCAGGGGTCTTTCTCATCTGTTGATGTGATATTCTGGTTCATGTGTTTCTGTAACAGATGTGTGCTAATTTAGTCCCCCCTGACAAACAGAACAGACCTGCAGCTGTTTACTGAGTGGCAGTAAACTGACCTGAGCAAACTCATATGTCACGTCTTCCCCTGCTTCCTTACACCACTGCTTGATCTGTCTCTCAAACTCCTGGTGGAGGTATAGGTCAGAGCAGAAGAGTTAATGTTGAGCCTGAGGCTCCCGCATGCCAGTATGAGCATAACACAAACAAACACATGTGCCCTTACACACCTGAAGGTTTACTGTAGGGGGTATTCTCAGGTCGAAGCTGACATCCATTTCAGCTGGGATGACATTGTAAGCCACACCCCCTTTAACCATGGTCATGTTCACTGTGGTGACATCACCTAGAGTGAAACACTCACTGGTGTTCAACCTGAAATACACACACAGGGTAGAGATGACATGAAAATGCGGGCCTAAATTTTCTAATCGGGACACAAACCTTTTCCATAAAGCAGATAGAGATTTTCTGAAAATCCTGCACAAACATTTGCTAAATATATGTCACGAGTGTTTTTATAGCTTGTATTGAAAAGTCAATACCACATTAGTATTCACATTTTATCTTCTGTGGTTTTCCTTTTAAATGTCCTGAAACAAAAAATGTAATATGGCTGCCACAAAAGGTATAGCCCTTAAATCCAGGCGGCTCACACTTCTCAGGTCTGAACATGATTTGTCCATTTTCACTATCCAGATGGTTGATGAAAAAACATGCTGGTAGTGTTAGACTTGGAGGCATGAGCCATAGAAAGATCTATAAGCTGAAGAAAGCTCAGTGAGAGTAATGGAAATGATTTACACACTTTGGGAGAAGGTTCCACAATTCATATACAATATAATGGGGGGAAAAAGGAAATTGGACTTGTTACTTGATATATGTGTAGTGGATACATAAAGTGTACAGCAAGTGTCAGCTTTAAAACATGACATAAAGAAAAATCCAAAACTGTAATTGATCTTTTTTTTTATCTGTCACTCCATAAATTAAAGAAATATGCTGTTGTAAGATATTCTCACCTGTGTTTCTCCTTTTCTCTAAAGTCCAGAAAGGAGTTTATAACTTGCCTCTGTAAGAAAGAGAAATCAAAAGTCCTGTTACAAATATTTTTTAGTACTTTTTTAAAAACTAGTAACATGAAAGTAGCTTTTTTCTTATCCAAATGCAAAGAGGATTTGGAAAATAATTTTGGGATGCAGATTTGTCATTAAGATGTATGCTGGGCTGGACCGCAAAGAGGCTGCTAACTGTAAAATGTAAGCTCCTCAGGAACTGTTTTACTTCAATAAGACGTTCATATAAAAAATGTTTGGTATGTTTATTCTCCAGAAGAGTAAACAACTTAATTACATTTGATAAGTCCATCTTATCAAAAGACTCCTTCAGATCCCCAAAATCGTAACATGCATCAAGAGCTCTGGATTGTAACCAGGTAATGACACTTACCAGCTTCTCTGCGGCTGTATTTTCCACAAACCTGGACCCATGACCTGGACTTCCTGGACAGCAGACAGTAATCCCTAAAAAAGCAGAAGTCCTCCAATTTCACATAAATCAGAGTTTTCCTTAAATCAAAGCATTTTATATTGAACTGTTCTTCCATAAATTATTTTGTATTATCCTTGAAACCGATCAGATATGCGGCAAGCTTGCATAATCTATGTTTTATACTCACACCAGGGATTTCTTTCTCCATAAAAGACAGTGAATGCCTCACCAGGATTGGCAAGACCTAAAAGAGATAAGTCAAATCTGCTTAAAGATAACTAAAAAGGATTAAACTCAGTGCAAAGGATAGAGACTGGTGGTCTATGACTTTTTGCACGTGATCAGTCCAAAAACCAACCTGTGAAAATAGAGCTTGTTCAGCTACAAATGGTTATCAGGAACATAAAAACATGATAGGGGTATAATCCCTTACTGCAAAAGCAACACTTGAAAAAAGCCAAAATGTTGCTTAAAATATATGACAAACTGAAAATATTAAGTTTTCTCCAATAAAGGTTTTACGGGTAAAATCGGTCCCTCTCAGTTAGGATTTATTTTAAAAGCTAACTAAAAATACTGCAGTTTTTTGTTTACCTTCATCAAGCGCAAAGCCAATGTTTAACCTCAGAAACTCTGGATGTGTGACAAATGTTTCCATTCCTTTGTGACCTCCGACCTCCTCATCTGAAAGAATAAAAAAGACAATTTTTTTGTCAAATTCATGTTATCATATACCATACAGCACTACTATTTCACAGACCTTAGACAAATGCTTATTATTATTGTAAAGGTCTGCCTCCAGTTGGGCTGCGCCCCAGTTGTACCAGAAAATTAGTTTCATTGTATGGGAGCGCTGGTCAATGATTAATAAAGTATAATTGATTGATTGATCAACTGACTGATTTCAACCAAAAACTGAGAAAATCTGCAGAGGTTTCTCTGGTCTGCAAGTGAGAAAAAAGACAGTGTGACACTGGTGTGATCAACAACAAAATGTGGATAATCTCACTGCCAATCAGGGTCACAACCACAGTTAACTTATGAGCTACGGCTCATTTGTGGAGAAATGTCTGCTCATGTGACTGTCCTTTCTGACCTTGTCTGGCAGCTAATCCCTGCAGGGCCTGCTTTTAACATCTTGTGCTAAAGCTTAGTGCTGACACGCTTTGGGACTCTTACAAATATATTAAAACCATTGGAGACAGTTAAATATCTCACCAGGAACAAACATTAGATGCACAGTGCGTGCCGGTTTCCATCCCCCAGCTTTCAGTCTTCTGACAGCCTGGATGTACCTACAGAAAACATAAGCAGGCACACCAGACTTAGGACGCACACGACAAAAGAACAGTGTTGATTCTGTATGCAAGTTGGGTGAGTGTGTGTTAAAGCAGACGTTTCTCATTTGACATAAATCAAAAGAAGATCACAACTCTAGAGTACCAATCCTTTTTTAGCAAAACAAGTTATTGAGGCAGTTTATACCCACTGTATAGTTACACATTTCATGTCCTGTGTTCCCCGGGCATAAATGTTGCCCTCTGCATCTTTGAAAGCACTGAAAGCATCGTATTTCCAATGTTCCTGGAGAAGAGATTGATAGCAAATCTATTCTATTGATGTCCATCATTGGTAACAACAGGATTGCTACAGAGTAAAAATAAACATGTGACATACCTGGTAAACAGGTACAACATCTGTGTGGGAATTCAGTAAGATGGATTTCAGTGTGGGTTTTGTCCCTTCCCAAGTCATGATTGACACGATTCGGCCTGGACAAACCTAAAAGAAGATTAAAGGAAAGATAAGACAACATCTCTTTTCTTTACAACTTTTTAACAACTGGTTACAACATTGTTTAATCACCTCAATCTTTTTCATCGGCAGCTCAAGCTCCTCTGCTAATTTGTCCAGGAACCTAACAGCAGCCTCTATAAATGAATAAACACAAAGCAAAACAGCTGGCTTAAATATTAATAGCAATGTTAAAATTCTCTGTTATAGCTCATAGTCCTGTTGTGAAAGAGCAGTTGTCATATCATAAAAAGCAAAGACAGTAAACCATGATAACTCTAAACACCTGTGCTTTTCACAACCAGTCTGTGTGAGGAGGAAAATAAAGGCTATACAGTTCATCTGCTATGAAACACTCATCGTCATTTTCCCCTAACGCTTTGCTACTCAACAGAAGCATGAAAAATTCATTCATCAGCTGAATTTGCCCCACCTGATTTATTTTTGGATTGGATTTATTTTCAGTATCCTAATGATTATCTTACATTTTTTAAATTTATTTTGAGATGTCATTTCATTGTTATTCTTTGTTCTAAAGTTAATTTCCTTGTTTGTATTCTATTGTAATACTCAGTATAATCCGTGAAGACCCAGTTCTTCTGAAAACTCTAAATGCACTTATTTCCAGATACCATATAGCACTTAATGTATGGTACCTGTGTACTGTTATAGTTGAATGTTATCGTATAGGTTAAATCTTTTTTTAGCATATTGCACTGAAGGTAAGGTAGGCGTGTAACTGGTTTTATAGTTGCATGTCAAACCTTCATTTTGTGAGTCAATTTGGTTGAAAGCATCAGATACATGCATACATGTAAAATGTAAGCTATAAAAAGGCAGAAAACGTAATTTCCTGAATTGTGACTTTCTCTGGGCTTCACACATCTGAGAGGATTTAATGTGTAACTGACATAGATAAGAAATGGACTTTGATTAAACAATATATGATACAACTGATGGGTGCAAATCAGTCACACTTTCAATGCATATATCACAAAATGTTTCAAACTTACTTACAACCGTGTTATTGGCGAGTGTGTATCTGAAACCGTATTTGAGGATATACTAAAGTTTTGTAAACTGAATGGAAAAAACGTCGAGGTGTCTACATTGGGGGTTAGAACTGAAGTTGTCTTTGTGTTGTTGTTTTTTCGTATGCTCATTTGTGAGGTGGGCCAGGGGCCAACTCAACCCCCCAAATTCAACTGTAACATTTTTAAAGGCCGCAACTTCATTTCATTGTTTTGTCATCTCACCGTAGTCGGGTTCAGGATGGACAGTTTTGAGACGAAGGTAGTCCCTGAACAGACTCACGGAGGGGTCCTCTTCTCTGGGCGAGCTCTGCCCTCCTCCAACACCTGGACCATCTTTGTCAGGGAGCATTTTAACTTATATACTCTCCTGGGGACACATAGATAATAGGCGACATGTATAGTCAAGCACGGCATAATTGAGTAATAAATACGTTAACACCGTGGCTGTACCGTAGCATTGAGTAAACACAAACAGCAGCCATAAAGCTCCGTGTCACAGACCGTTCCCGTACCTGCTTTCGACACCTCTGCAGCGGATCCGATGAAATGCTAAAAACTGGCTAGCCTTACACAAGGTAACTTGACACTGGGCTGTGGTGACAGGAGCTGCAACTTAGTCCTGGCCACTGGTTAAGCTACCTGGAAATAAAACACGTTAGGTTATATACAGGAAAATAAAATACATTTGATTTTTAACCGGTGTTCATTACTTTGGAGTACTCTTGCTACGCACCGAAGGCAGTCAATGTAGCCACACTGGGTTAGAGTTAATAGTTAATAGGGGTAGTTGCAATCTTCCGAAGAACACTTTGAGGTCCTAGGATGAGCAAAACGAATAGCTTTGCAGCTTTTTCCCCTTTTGTTCTCAGATCCATACATATTAGGATAGATTTTTCCTATTAACCAATAAAAAATAGTTGTAATAAAACATTAAACACCCCTACAGTGGACTGTACCATTTCCTGACTATGACGTCTGTTTAAGTTAGCTTACAAGCCAATTGTCAGTTAATGTTTATCAAACTACTGTTAATTTATTAAACTATCAAACGGGCTTAAAGCAAACCCTTTTCCTTTCGACATTTCGAAATTAAATTTCTGTGTTGTAAAAGCCATTTTATAACCAGAAAATAAGAATAAATCTATAAATGGCTCTACATTTGACAATTATTGTAGTGCACAATTTGCATGCAGAACAACTTACACAATTAAAATAATCACCTTTATTAGTTTAGCTCGCAATGCAAACTGTATTAATAAGATTACATTTCACAATGTGGTTGTTTTTCACTTTAATATTTCAGGATAACATTTGTATGAGTAATTTTTGCCTTGAGGATGGGGTTGTCCTTTGGAATGGATTCAATCAATAAGCAACCAGACTCCATTCACAGCTTTAAATAAACTTAAGACCATGAAAATGGTTAAATTTCAGTTCACCAAAGCAAACATCTGCCCTGTATTCTTTTGTAACCCTGAAGTTAATGATAATTTCTTCAACCACCAGATTCCCCTGGGCTGTTATGCAGCTGACAAGTCTGTTCCTTCCTTTAAAAGACTAATTAATTTGTTTATTTATTGATTTAAATATACATGTTCACCATAACTCACTTATGAAATGATTTACTAATAACATATCATGCACATTACCTGAACAGAAACACTCATATGCTAGAGTTTGTGTGGTTTAACAAACACACAACATGCAATGGTGGATAATGAAAAATAGAGTGAAAATTAAATATAGAGTTACACTACTTCCTTTATTAATGTGCATTTGGTTTAAACAGTGTACTTACTGTAAATGATACTGACAACAAAGCCCACAACTCTTGGTTTCTTTACTCTTTTAATTTATCAACATTTATTTTATTTAATCCAGAGAAGCAAACATAAATATCAAAACGGGTAAATTATAAAAGTGCAACTTCATTTTAACAGCAAACATCACTTGTGCAGGAGTACTCGCTCCCACTTCAGCCAGCTGTTGATCAACAACCACAGCGAGAAGGCCAACACTCATGAACCTGTATTACCTCATTAGCACAGAGGCACTCCTGCTTTCAAAACTCTGCCAAAAACATTAAAGTAAAATTCACATTTAGTACCAAACATAACTGTGAGTCTGAGCATTACAATATTGTTTAAAAATAACTTTTCCATGTGCGTGGAAAGACAAACAATTTAATTTTAGTTTGCTTAATAGTGCGCTTGGCAGCAACGTATTTTAGAAGATTTTTTGACAAAAGAAAGTTGATCATTGCTACACTTTGAAATTTAGAAAAAACAAACTAAAACTATGGTTCAGCCTGGATTTGTCAGCATTTTTTTTTTCTAAAAAAACCCCCAAAACATTATTATGTGTGTGTTTGTGCGACTGTCCACACTTATTGCAGATCACTTAAATATAGCTTATCAACACTCTATAAATACAGTTTGTAATCACTTTCATCACTTATACGTCTTTTATTGTAGCTCGAGTTGATTCGGCTTGCTTTATCCAAACACGGCTCATGTTAGTTGGAAGCAGAGTTAGTTGCCAGATTTTTATGTCCACTTCTTTGTGACAGGAATGACTAGCAAAAAAAAATTCACGCAAGCAACAGTTACATATGCATTTGGACATCTACCTACATGTCAGCTGAAAAACAAAAAACAAAGATACAAACATGTTCTTTTTTTCTCGACATGCAACAAGGGACATGAAACAAAGACAACAAAATGAATTTTTCTCTTTTTTTTTAAAGAAATAACAACAAGCTGTGTGCAGCTAGTCTGGTATTTTCAGGTAAAACTATTAACTTCAAACTCTGTACATTCATTACAGTAACATTAACTGTTACGTGTTATCCTCCGAACCCACGCCCATCACCAGGATCTTGGGGTGGTAATGAAATGAGAATAACACTGACCACAGGACAAATTCTCCTCTTACTTCTACGTATTGCTTGTCTTTTTGATTTAGGTGTCTCACTTCAGTTTGCTGAGGAACTCAATCAATCCCTGGTGAAATTCACGCGGTTTTTCCTTGTAACAAGCATGGCGAGCGCCTTCCAACTTTAGGACATAGTGATTAGGAAGCTGTAAGAGGTTTTTGTGGGACTGTGCACCTAGATTAGTGTCCAGGGCTCCGAACACAATCAGAGTGGGAGTCTGAAAAGCATAACAGAAAGAAGTCAAAGGGAAGAATTAGACAATGCCTAATATGCCTACTATTAATGCAATTTTGTTTAACACAACTTTCTCAAAACTCAGAAAAATTCCTAGGATGAGTTGCACGTGCAGCATCCTTAAGAACAACAGATACAAATCTAAGACATATACAGTTATTATTAATATACTGATTTCCACAGGTAAGTTTGTTTCTGTATCAAGACTAAAACAAATTATTGCGTACCAAGTCTACCATGAAAATTAGAGCCAAGTCTCTGATGAGAGGAGTTCAGGTGGAGAATGAGAAGTTACCAGCTCTGACTCAGTGGAGCGAGGCTGGGTTGTGTTTGAAAGGAAATCAATAGAGACCTGAATAAAATGCCCATAAGCTTTCTGACATGTGTGGCATGAGTCTATAATAGATGGCTAAATAATGAGTGGCTCTTCTAAACGTACAGGATAAGAATGCTGTAATGCACATGTCAATGGCAGAAAGAAGAAACACCTCACAGTTTATTGGGCATGAAGCTAACATCCAGTTTTGGATTTTTCTTTCCATGAATTAAGTTGTTCATGAGTACCGGTAGTTTAATCAATGGAAAAGAGGGTCTGGACTGGGATGATAAAGGCAGTGATCTTCTTACACCATAACTTGATTTGAAGTGTTACAGAGTGGTCAGTTTATCTAATTCTATCTACAAACTTTATTTCAATTAATCTTTCCTTTTATGGTACATTTCTGTAAATTAATGTGTGGTTAACAACTTCAAGGCACATTTTTTTCCCCAAAATTTTACAAAAGATATATTTCTTACCCACATGAATAAAGCTTTTTTTTATTCATATTCTTAATTGTTTATTTGATGTAACGCATATAAACGAACAGCATAGTTTATGCTCTCACCTGAATTTTTTGGTATTGTTCTTGAGAGTAGCTCCGCGTGCCAACTGGTGCTATAGGTACAAAGCCGCGCAGCTGGGCACTGTTACTCATGAGGAAGGGAATGGAGTAATGTCCGCTCATCGAGGGGCTCAAAAGCACAGCTGCTCTGACACCCAAAGACTCCATGAACCTTGACAGGAGGTCTACCCGATTCTGGTCAGTTTTCAGAGCGTCTGAGTCCGGGGATTTTCCATACCCTGAGAGAAGAGGAACCATGCACGAAAAGTTACCGTTTTCTTTTTTTACCAAGAGTAAACACAAAGCAAGTGTGCTTTGTCATATGGATGAGCTCCTTTCCAGTTTTATTTTTTTCGGATGATGGCTCTGAACTTAATGACTGATTAGTAATCAAGTTCATTAATATCAGTAATGGTAAACTAGGCATAGATCATCCACCATTGTCTACAATCAGATTGTGTAAGTATAAATTATTTTAGCCACAAGAGGGCACCATCAGGTCATGAAACCTAGGATTTTCCAGCCAAACTAACTCCTACAGTGATAAATAAACAGTAAGCAGTTTGCCTGGACATAGAAAGAGCCTTCACAGGTTGGTATGAAGGCTTTTTCAATTCGCTCCACAACTCTGTCTGTTCAAATAAACTAAACTGACCTGGTTTTATAACCAAGTGTTGCAAAATTATTTAAATTCAGACCTTATATATCTTAACATTTGCAGCTCTTCAGATCCAGCTAACAGTAATGCCCCTTTGTATATCTACCTGGCAGGTCCATTGCTAAGGCCTGATATCCATTAGTTGCCAGCAGAGCCATGGTCCCCAGCTCTTCCCAGGTTTTGGAGCTGAAGGCCTGGCCGTGCAGAAGGACAACCTGCAGCCTGAACAGAGACAATTTTGGTTCTTTTTTGTGATTCAAGCGAGACAGTCACAGGTCCTCTGAGTATTTACTTATGTGATCTACTTTGAAGTTAAAGGCTACAACAAAAAATGTTACTGGACTTTTGTCAAACCATCTGTTACTTCACCTTGGCAATATCTGCCTCCCTGCTCCATCTGTAGGTAAAGCCTCTCGGAAGAACAGGGGAGGGTCCCCTGGCAGGTGTCCGGTGCGAATGGAAACATTGATGGCTGGAAGTGCTGGGGGTGCTGTGGCCAGAATCCCCATTCTTTGAGCTTCCAGTGATGGCTCCATGCTGCCCTGCCGAATGGCCGGCAGCAGAAGGTACAGCAGCAACGTGGCCAACAACACCAGGCCCAAAACAACAAGGCGGTTTCGGAAGAAATTCATTTTATCCAGAAGAACAACCTGAAAAAGGAGGACAATGCAACATTTCAAAGCTCCTCATACTGACTTTTTTACAGGTTTTCCCTCCCATAAAGGTAGATATTCTTATTCTTAGCCTTATTCATAGTCTGTTTCGGTTCACTATTGAAACAACAAAAAAAGACTTTTAACATCTGAAATATTGCTCCAAAGTATGTGGATGCAATAACGTATTTTAAAAACTGGTATGCCCCAACTGTCATTAAATAAAATCTTTAGTCCACGGATAGGGCCACATATTAGGATGGCTTTAACAGAAACGTTGGTACAGATCTTCTAACAATTGAACATCTAACATGACAACAGATATTCATTTGTTTTAACATTATTGTTTTTGTGTTACATAATCTGAGAGGTCGCAAATTATGCTTCACCAGTTTCCAAACAACTATAAAATAAGTACGAATATTCGCAGCAGCTCAAAATATGAACTGACTCAAACGGCTCTCAGAATCTGGCTGATTTATGAATGATTCCAACCGACGGTGAATGGAATAAAGTGCGTCTCCTCGAAATAACTTCACTTGTTATGAGCATGTTGGGAGAGTTTAACAATAGTTGCTGTGCGTGGTGAGAGAACTCACAATACATAGCTTTGAGGTGCAAAAAATGTAAAATGACGACTGCAATTAGCCTAAATGGACGTGAAAGCGAGCAGTGTCGCTCTCTATTGCTAAATCTCAGCACAATGCTGGATGACGGCAATTGGATTATGCAACCCAAGAAGATAACATACCGACAAAGGAGAAATTGAAACGCATTCACAGAAGGAAGGTTGATCTTTTCTTCTTTACTACCATGCCTTGAGGATAATGCTGGTTGTGACAGAAGTCGTTGCCGTGAGACTTCTGGTCCGTACCGGAGGAAGCTTTTCAAACTAATAGGAACATTGTGACCAACGCCATATGTTCTTATTTTTCTGACAAAAATAACATCTAAAACATTCAATGACAAGTCGCGCATCAGCTGAATAGATGAAAAAAATGAGCTCACTAAAAAATCAATATTAAACAAAATTTCCGGGACACTATATTTGAGATATTTTCGATTCACCAACATCTTGGTCCTCTGTTTCTTGTCGGAATGTAATGCAAGCTGCACAAAACAACATTTAAGAACCTGCGTCATTTCCTGATGGTGGGATTGAGAACTCAACAGATAAATCTAACATCTACTCAAATAAGAACCAAACATTGGTCTTGCTTTGAAAAAAAATGCAATTATCATTTTTCTGTTATTATTCAGTGTTTCTTTACTTTGAGAATAATTTCTAGAAAAATGTTTTTGTTTTAGTCTGGAGAGGATGTTTTTACATTACAGGACTTTCAAACTTTTTTTAGCTTTAATTTACAATTCACTTTAATAACCTCATTTTATAAACATTAAAATGTACAAGCTATTAGAGTATCACAGAAAACCTGTTCACTGAAACTCTTTGAAGCAAGGGCTTTAAGAATAATTTTAAAAATTCCAGTAAGATTTCTTTATGCTGTCAGCATAAATTCTTCAGCTACACTCAGTATACTTTTGGTTAATCTGTTTTCTATCTTTTTATCACTGCACCTAAAGAATAGTGTTCCATGTTTACAAAATATAACATTATTGTTTATCTGCCACGTCAAATATATCATACCACTTTCAGTATCTGGCTTTTAGCAATATCAAGGCCATAAAACTGTACATGTGAATTATTCATCAGCATTTTGAGTTCAGTAACAGTAATTTTAAAATAATTTGTACATTTAAATTCAAATGCCTAAAATACATCCCATTCATCTGCCATTTTTTGTCTAAAATGAGAAAAGTCCATCAAAATAGAAATGTTTTCTTTACAGGAGGCAACAGAGACAATGAAGTTCCATAAAAAACATTAGTTTAATATGAAAATTCTCAAATACATAAGTGAACAAAAAACATTTGAGATACAGTACCCTTTTGACCTTGGCATATATGATTTAAAAAAACAGTCTATTTTTGGCAACAAAAAAAAAAAAAATCCCATTATTATGTAAGCTGTATCAGCTCTGAAGCAAAGCTTCTTCTAAAGCAGAAGCTCACAAAAGATGGTAACAATTGTTTTTAAAAGACAGTTGAGGCATCAACAATAACTCACCCCCACCCACACAGGTTTTAGTCTGGGTTTTAATCCAAATAATTGACTTAACTAACCTTTTCTCTGTGTTACTGACACTTGATAAAAAGCGGGAAACGGGTAAGGCATAACAACTGTAGAATACACCAAGTTTTTCTTTAAAAAGATTCACAGTGGAACACAACTCTGAACTAAAACATAAGGGGGGGTCAGCATTATGATTTGATGCACAGCCATAATGCTTATAGACCAGAAATAAACCTCTCCTCTCACAAGCTGCAACATGAGTAAAGCCAAATCCACTGCAAGTGAAAGTAATTAAAGTGCAGGACTTAACAAAGGCAACATATTTCACATCCTACTTCCTCTACTTTTGCTGTTAATGACAGTAAAAACCTATCGCTTGCACATTGCTAAAACAAACTAGTTGCTAAATATACATGTTACAGTTTAAATATGAAAATTCTCAGGTAGCTTTAAAAAAGCAAATAAAGTGATAATAAACTAATCAGGACAGGTACGTACAGCAGTTACTACCCGCACAGTGTCATTGGCCTGACATAAGCATCAATGACAGGATTCCTTCTGTTTGTGTTTTTAACATAAACCCAACATATACAAATAACGTTTTTCCATTTGGTTTATAAAAGAGGCCAAGAAAGGAATAATGTGTCATGACTGATAAATATACCTTTGGCATTTCTGTGCTAGACTTTTCAATACTTTAAAAAAGGAAAAAAAAAAGTTTAAGGAAATTTAACAAAACCGCACATACATAATAGTTCCTAAATGCCTAAAAACAGAATGTTTTGGCATGATTTCTTTTCACAGTAAACACACTTTGTAAAAATGAAATGCTGCTATAAAAAAGAGCACTTTGAAGCCATGTAAGGCACATATTTGAACTGAAACAGACAGGTCCAGCCACACTGCTTCTCTGAGCAAAGAAATAAAGAGATGTAATACTGCATGACATCTAAACACCTGGCATGATACACTTTGTATTTCTTTCTAAATGCTCCATCACAATTCAGAGTCAGTGTCAGCTTATACATTAGATAACCTACTGGATCTGAATGTTTATTTCTTGTTTACTTTTTCATTAAGGCTCAAATGTTCTATAGTTATGTATGCCATAAAAATAAATACAAAATGCATGTCTTCTTTTAACTGTTTAGACTGTGAACAGAGTGGGGTTTGATATTTATTCTTCTTGTATGATGGCAGAGACCTTTCCTAGTTAACTGGCTCCATTACACCATTGGATGAAAATAACCAAAGCCCCTTCTGTCACAATGGTAAATAAGACAAATGTGTGCTCTGGCTATCAGCTGCGGAAAATCCATAACTATCACTATGGCACATAAACTTAACACCTTTATGTCCAAATGTCTGAACTTTCCCTTTCAGGGCTGGCAGAGGGCGTTAAAAGTTTGGGCTCCTCAGTTTCCTCAATGGAGTAGAAAGAGGAGGCTGAGTGGCAGTAAAAAGCAGAGAGGCCAGGCCCCTAAAACAGAGGGGGCTTTATTCTTCCCTTTTTCTTTCTGCTCACACGCGTCACCTCGGTACCCACTGTAGCACTGGCACTGGAAATGCATTCGGAAAACAGCCAGCTCGGCCTGGCCAGGCGCTCCTGTAACCTTCAACTTGCTGCTCTGACTGATTATCCTGTGTGTGGTTGGGCTGAGATGAAGATACACATCACTGTCAGGTTCTCTGCGAAGACAGCGGCCATGGGATTTACACAGCTCCTGGCTGCACAGCTCCGCAGCTGTGGACACATTGAGGAGGTATCGACCCAGTGCTCCCGTAAGATAATTATTCAGGGTGAAGCAGCTGGTCTGCAGGAGAGAAAAAGGAGACCTAAACACCACAGAACAGTTGCCTTTTCAGCATCAATCAAGCGGAAAGGCGCAGCTCTTACATTTTTTGCATAGGAGGTGTCCCCCCAGAAGATTACGCCTGCAGCTCCTAATGCGACACTCTCACCAATGGTGGAAACCAGATCTGTCTGCAAAACAATGGCACAAGAATTCAATTATGTGACAGTACACACGTCAATCACACAGCAAATTATTTGTTTTAATCAAGTTTAACAGTGTTAGTATTTCACCAAGCATCCTGATAAGAGTCCCCTCTTTTCCCCATCAGATGGAAGGTGTCAGTGATTTATACTAAAGATTTAATAGGTAGTTTGGTGCAGCATATTCATTCAACAAGCAAGTGCTTGTGCTGTCTTTGGTCACATGACCCAAAAACAGCTGATCAAAGAAATTAAATAAGTAATTTCTTGTTTTGAAATTGCAGCTTCAAGTACCATTTGGTCTTTTTGTCAAATAAAGCAGTTACATTTGTTAAATAACAAACTAACCTCAGTTAGGAGGGTCATCTGGCTGTTGTAAGTAGGTCGGGTGTAAACAAAAACAGGACGGGCCAGTCCATCTCCAACAGAGGCCAGGCGCATGGCCTCTTTCACCCTATTACGGACAAACAGGCGCCCATAAACTGTAGAGCTTAGAACAGAACCCATGTATATTGACGGGAAAAAAGCAGTGCACTCCATCCATAACCAGTTAAGTTGATCATTGCGTTGCATCTCAATCGGGGGACAGCGGCCAGCGTAGTTTTTAAGGCCGTCCTTGTAGTCATGGTTGTAACAATCGGGAAACAAGTAAAACCCCCACAGTTGATTGGGCCTGAGACTCTTTGCAAGTTTAAGAGTCTCCAGCATGAATTTTTGAGCTGACAGCTCAAATTCTTGCTGCGCAACTTTATACACTTTGTCTGCTGTCCAATGTGGGTTTTTCTGAGCCACCAATTCTTGTGATTTATTCCGATAGATATATTTGGCATCCCAATTACGAATCCATAACGGGCGCCACTCCTCCCAGTCAATCACAGACAAACCTTTTGCCAGGGGTTCTTGTATGTATTTCTTCAGCCCATCAGGCATCTTTTCATAATGCTGAGTGAGGCTGGCAAGCTGTGGAAGGCCTCCATTCACTGCAGTGCCCCCATGCTCATAATAGGGATACAACCCCAGGCGCTCCTTATAGAACATTGTGAGATTTTGCCGGACAAAGCCCTCATTGGGGGTTGCCACTATGTCAAACTGGTCCAAAGATAAAGAAACGCCATATCGTGTCCTACATTCCTGTGTTGGGGCATTCCAGACAAGAAGAACTGGTTTCTGGGAATATAATGGCCATCTTGTCTGCTTTGTTTCTGCTGAAGACATGACCGTCCACGATGTAAACAGAGTCAGAATCAACAATGGCAGCTGGCCGGCTGTGATGGGGAGAGAGTGAGATACAGTCCCCATGGTCACTGCTCCCCTGCACTCTTTTCTCTCTAAAAAACAGAAAAAGGTCAAATCAGTATGTGAAATTCAACCAAAAATCTATACGAATACTTTCCTGTCTATACACGTGTGAACGCGGACTCAGTGGAGAGGCCGGTGAGCATTAAAATGAACCGAAACAATAAAGCCATAAAATATAAAACAACAAAAGCAAGCAGTTTCATTAAGTATCTAAAAAATGTAACATCAAATTAAAGCTAATAATTACTATGACAAGCACTGTTAACAACAATAATTTCCATTCCACCGCCGATTAATTGAACTTTTAAGTTGAAAAAATGGCCCAAAAGAAATTTAAGTTGAAGAAATATATATATATTACTTCTCTACCAGTTAAATATATACGTGTGAGAGTAAGCTGTTTTTCAGCAATCAACGGGAGACGTGACTTAACCGTATTAGCTCAAAGTTTCATTGAAACTAAACGCCGTGTTGCTAAGTTAGCTAACGTGTCTCCCCTCTCTGTTCAGTCTAACCTGGTATTTTGACGCCCAGACCAGTTATGTACTCCTCTTATGCAACGGCGAAAAAAAATAAGATTCCACGACCCTGCCATGTGAGGACCTACAGACACAGTTCGTTCAATCCATTTTGACGACTAAAAAGTAAGGCACGTCTCAAAGCGAAAATGTGCTAGGAGGGATGGTGACGGTAAAGGTTGAGCAACAACAGATCATTCCATCAGTCATAAGTGTAGGGGTGTTACGGATCACTAAGAAATGGCCATCGCTCCTATATTATGGTTTGTTTTGTACTACATAGTACTTAGCTTTGAAATAACGGCGACTTAAAAGCTTTGTATGATAATAAGTTTATCTAGATATCAGGTTGAGGTTTTAAATTCATACTCAGGTTCCAACAACTCCCCCAACTAAAGTCCGTTGTAGAAGGTAATTCAATTTGCTTGAGCAGCACTTGTATCAAGAGGTGTTTTATTTTATTTTATTATAAAACAGTCTGAAAAAGTATCATCTAACGTAATAGAATGAAAATGGAGACAAGGATTAGTCTTTTTCTGCCACTTGTCACTGAACAAAATCATGAAATATGCCAGTTAATAAGAATTATTCTCGGTATTTACATCCAAAAATGCAGTTGTGGACTACTTTCTGGGATACCTCTAAATATAAAAAGGAGGATTGTCATCCATATGCTCAAAAGAATTGTGCAGCTACATCTTTTTAAGTTCTTTAAGTTGTTTTTTTTTATCCTCAAACTGCAAAAGTTTTTCAAAGCAAATGAGAAGGAATTTGATTATCTAGCATGTTATATTGACGGGTTATATTGGCTCTTTCATGACACATGCACAGGTATGTGTAATATTTCTGCTCTCATTAAAAAATGCTTTTCAAATATTATTTGTTATCCATAGTGTATTTAACACACACATTCTTAAAATCAATTTCTAAACAGAGAGGAATCCCTGACGATTGCAACGAATGCAAAAAAACTGAAAAAATCAAATAAATCACAGGAGGGCAACAATAGTTTCTCGTTTGAAATATGTTTTGAAAAAAAAGTCTCAAATTAGTCTCTTACCAGCAGCGTTTTGTGCTCAAATTGTCAAATGAAACTAGAGTCAAGCTGTCCAGTCGCTCGAAATCTGAAGGGATTCAACAAAGCTGTTAATCATTCTGTATTGAACTGCACCACTAACATCTGTTTAAATACCCAGGAAGCTCCTCCTCTGTTTGACCTCTCTGTTGCATAGACACGCAAAAAGGAAGGGAAAAAAAACACTTCACTTTATTTCCTCTCCAAGGTTTCAAATTAAGTAGAAAAAGAAGCTCTTTACCTGCCACCAAGAGATTGGAACCACATGTTTCTTTGAGACTTCTGTTGGGCTTAGAAACACATTTATATCAAGACTTTCTGGACTATATAGACTTGGCTCATTTTTTTTTTTACATAGTGAGAGAAAGTAACTTCCTGAAACTTTCAGATTAATGTTGAATGGTTGTTTTAATGGTTATGTTTAGACAAAATAACTTTGGATAAAAAAAAACAAACAGATTTCCATTTGATCTTCACAAATGATTCAAGGAAAAAAATCACAACTTTTCAAGTGTCTAATGAAATAAAACTCACCAAGACTTTTTGAGTCAACATGACTCCTAATTGACAGACATTTAATATGAGGTTCAATGCACACCTGAGTTTATGAGTTACCATCCATTTTTAAACATCCTTAAAACCTCTATATACCTTCTCCAAGTAGGGTCACAAAGAGGTAGGAGACTATCCCAGCGGTCACAGGGCGAGAGGAGTTCATGAATTGCTAAAAAGAAAATCAATGAGAATTCTTTTTGATAAGTGTAAACGCATCAATTGACTAATTATTCTGTTTACTGACTATATTTCCTGGTAAAACCCCATTTGAAAAAGATCTAAAGGAGCTAAAACATGTACATAGTCCATTTTATTAGTTTATTTAAAACAATATCCCATGTATGTTTTAAAACAGTAAAACAAGGGGTGGGCTGCTGAGTCAAAGCCTGACACAGCAGCCTCAGGTTGTCAAAATAAACCACAAAATGTAATTTCCCTACTATGTCTCCTCTTGACCAGGAAAAACAAGACAACACAAAGCCAAGAGGGGTGAGAAAGAGCACAAAGCTTTGTGCCGGCTGAAGTCATTTCACAGAAGCAATAAAGTGGAGAGGACTTCTTGGCACAGAACTCTTTATCCTTTAAGGAGAACATCATCAGACAGCTTTGTAGAGAAGCTGTAGACGTCCCGTAGTCATGGAGAATGTAATGATGGACTTTACTGCTCTCTAAGCTTCTCCTCCTCTGAACTGGGGTGTGCCTTTGAAGATTCCTTTGCAGCTGGAGGTCCATTCAGCTTGTTTCGCATTTCAACTTTTTTTTCTTCCAAAAGCTAAATGCCAAATAGTTGTCACATAAAGGTTAAGGTGAGGACAGTTGTTCAGCGCTTTCTTTTCTACTTCATCTTGGTGTTTTAGCCTGGACTGGAAATGAGTGCACGCACCTGTACGCGGGGACCAGAGCCCGATTACTGCAAAAACATCTTAATCCAATTCACTTTAGTCTTTTCAAATCATGACAATTTTAATGCAATTACCATTAGATTATACAATTATCAAATTTGTATTGAGAGAGACAAACACTCCTGGGATACAGTATTTGAGGCCATGACACAGGTCACTCCCACTTTTGAGATTCCACAAAGTGCAGATTTCAAATTCCAAGATCTACAGATAGTGTTCTTGAACTCCAGTTCCAGGTCTTGTTAGTAGAAGAGACCAAGTAAGAAATAGAAAGTGTGACCCTAAAAAACTGTTTTTGTTGGCTCATGACAAGATGACAGCATGCCATAATCACAGGGTCTTTTACAATTCCAATGTAGATAAGGAAGGCCTTTAAGTCGTTATTTATGGAGGTAAAACAGAAACATGACAAGTCAGTGTCTATATTTGTAATTAAAAAACTGTTTTAATAAATTAAATGTGAAACACATTTTCCAAAGCAGCAAAGAAAACACCAGGAGCTTTCAGAATCAATGCTGCTGTGTACATGTGGCTCTGAGGTCACAGAAGCAAGTCCGTCAGACATCACAATATGACATTAATCCTCTTTAGATTTTGTGGGCTGCTGATTGTCAACTCCCCAGGCTATTGCCTGTAAGCTGATCCTGTCCCATGCAATAAGAGCAAGTCAAAATAGTGTAAAAAAAAAAAAATTTAAAGTGTGCACTGACAGTTTTCTATGCAAGACAATGACAAAAGACTGGCTGCGTTCATCTTGAACTCTTTGAGTCAACTTAATCCCACCAGAAAACAAAATCGCTGACAGAACTCAGGATTCTTCCTCGTCTCATGTGTCTGCACACATTCACACCAACAAGCACACAAACCATGATCTCTATAGACTGAGAGGATTTTCTCTACTTGGCAAACATCTACATCCCTGCTGATGATGGCATTTCCCATGTCTCACTGCACACAAGCCAAAAACAGATCACATGCAGAGGCCCAGCACACAGTGCATCAGCCTGTCCAGTAGGGGAGTCAGATATATCAAGAGATCCAAGGTATTTTGAAAGGTGGTTTGGGCTTCCATCTGTCGGGGAAACCACAGGACGGAGCTGACACAGTAGCCTGTCTGAAAAACTGAGACTCTCAGGCTTCACAGAGGATAACTGGGAAATCAACATGGATGCAAGGATGCTCCAATGTTATAATTCCCTGAAAGGATAAGGAGGGAATTCAAATGATTAGAAATTATACTGAACATCTTTAGCAAGTGAAGTCCGACTTGAACAGAGATTTTCTAACCTGAGGTGTCAAGTTTCTTTGAATCCTTTTCAGCTTGGCTTTTTTCCGTCCGTTCTTTGTCACAATTGTCTCTTCATAGAACTCATGGGCCAAGTCACCGTCTTCATCAAAGAACATAGAGCTGCAGCAGGGAATACCAATAAAAATCATATTAAAACTGCTAAATGAAATATGCCTCTTCCCCACTTTAGGGGAACTGTGTCCATTAAATAAAATAAAAATAAATAAAATACTGCTGCACTGGGGGAAAAAATGAGAAAATGAATTACTCTGAACACTTATTTTCATTATGATGAAAAACATATCCCCAAAAAAATGTTTTTACTCCAAATCTACCCAACAGGAATGTATGTACATTATTTTTGGGGGCTTAAACCATTCTGAGCCACAAATTCAGTGCCTGACCCCACTATACCCCATGGTTGATGAAACTATATTTACCTTCGTCTGGTAAACACAAAAGGTGTGGCACCTGGGAAACTTCGAATTCTTGCCAGGGACTGCTCATCTCCATCTTTGGTAGGATCATCCCCACTACCTGAGCCAGAAAAAGGCCAAAATCCTTTGGATTTGGAGCCACTACCCCCCATCTTCAACTGCAGGACATTATTTTCCTGTGTCACAGGGTGGTCTGTAGTGCTACAGTGTTACTGTACATAAGAAAATGTGGACCGCAGTGGTGTGACAACTGGGAAAAGAGACAGAAGAAAATATTAGTATCCTTAGAGACACAGACAGGACTATTTAAACAATAAAAGAAAAAATTGCCTTGAAGTACAAAGCACATTTTCTGGAAAAATGAGCTGTACCAAATAAAACTATCATATATATACATATATATATACACACACAAAAAACGTTTGGGCCAAAGTGCACGCCATACAGACAAGAGAGATTTGTATTTTTTTGTTGCATTAAAATTGATGTTTTTTGTTCCTTCAGAGCATCATTTGCTGTCATTTTTTCCATTTCTACATCTCTGTTCAATCTAGGACATAAAAAACTGAAAATCTAGTTAGCCGTTTTCCATGTACCACACACGTTGGAAACACGCACTGATGGCGTATTTATTTACAGGAAGAGAAATGCATACATTTAACTAGCACGTCGTCCCTTTTTTACTACTATTCGTTGAAAATACCTCGAATAAATAATACTTGAGAAGATGAAGACATTGGGGTCAAAGTCATATGTCAATACGGCAGATAAGAACAGGCCACAGACATACATGACAGTGCAAAGCCACATTTGATCAATGTGTCTGTGTGCAGCATGTTACAATATAACGCTTTGTAATAATAAACTATATTCGAAAAATATCACGAGAATAAAAATTCAAAAACATAAACCTGATCTACTTTGACTTTTAAAAGGATTCGAAAACATAGACACGGTGGCTAACTTCGTAAGCTAACTTTGATGGACAAAACACTGGCTTTGCCTGCGTTACTTTCGGAGACTTTAAATAACTCCATGTCTTTGCTGCTATTGCATCTGTTGCCTTATGATAACTAGCCCTCAGCGATGAGCGTGAATCAACACGTTTTTTAACAAAATACTTTGCTGACGCTGACACAGGGTAACATTAGCAGAATTGATACCGAGTGTTTTGTCACCTCAACCACGTAGAAAACATACCTAAAGTGAGTGGTGTTTTGTTCGTTGTTGGGAATTGTCCTTGTTAAAATTGTCTTGATACGCTGACAATTAAAGACCTAAAAAATACAGTAACGCTAGCTGTTTATGCTAATATTACACGTTTTTCTTCTAGATTGTCCTCGAAGCTTTATGAGGAAATACTGAGTAGCTCTATCGCCCCCACACGGACAGGAGTGGAAGTGCAAGAATGTTGAGAGGGAAGGAGCGTCAAACAGCCAATTGTGTTTTTGTTTTTTTATTTGTTTGTTATCTTTTGCGTACATCTTGACGCTTAAACTCATCCCACACGCTTAAAATTATTTATGCAAGTTAAAGATAACGTTATCCTTGTTCAGGACACGTATGCTATGTATTTTAGTGTCTTTATAGTTTAAGCTTTTTCAAAATTTGTATATGACTTTTTTGCTGTCAGAAATTACTGGAGAATCTTTCAAATTCTTCAAAAACTTTGACCTCTTTAGATCTCATGCTACTTCAGCATGAAACACCATTCCACTTTCAAACGGGTCTCAATAAATTCAGTTATTATCAAATATATTTGCTGATTTTTAAAATATAGCAGTTTCAAATTCGTCAAAAGATTTGCTTCTTCCAGGTTTTACAATGCAGGAATAGGTCATGTGACAAACTATGTCCTTCAGCAAATTTCATATTTTAAAAAATCGTCCTCCTTCAGCTTGCTTCCAAATCATTCAACATTGAGATAAAAATTACACCTGAAAACGTGCAAAATCCTGTTTTCTTTCAGTCAATATAACTTCCAAAGCAGTTACCTTTCAGAATTTCATCAGTAATCTTCAGCCAGACGAACTTCTGCCATAGACAGAAATGGTCAATTTCAACCTGGAAGATTACTCTTGAGTCTGTATGTCGGTTACAAAATTCTTTTTTCAATGTATTAATCATTCTAAATTTTAGGCCCGTCTCTAAAAAGCTATGTAAGCCTTTTCCTCTGTGATGGTTTTAAACATTAAATCATTTAAAAACTATGGTGAGAAGCTTTTAAAACAGGGAACTGAGAAATGTATTTAAAACTTTTTATTGCTTCCATTTCAAAATTATTATGGAACTGACATCAGACGGCTCATAATCATAATCAGTTTATACTGATATAGGAAGATGATCACCATAACATCACTATAAATAACCTAATCAAGCAGCAACTTTTTAATGCATGATTTGAACATGTGAAATCCATAAAACTCCTAAATATTTGATTTTACACAGTCCAGTTCACAACATATGTAGCATGATCTGATCCTTCCAGATGCTTCCAGTAGTTTACCTTAAATATGAGGACATGCATGCTTTATTCACAACCTTTCTACATAGCACGCCATTATCCTGAGCTCTTTCCTTCCCTTTTACCTGTCATTTTCATATTTTCAAGGCAGAACAGGTTTTTTTTTTTTTTTACTGCTGAAACTCTGTCAGCCTGGGGTGGTTATCTTGGCCAACGCCTTCTTCATCGTGTCCCTCGCGAGTGTGTAGCGCTTCACAATCTGCCGCACGTGTTCTTCTTCCTCACGCTGCAGGATTCGCAAAAAGTTGCACAACTCAGGAAGACTAAATGCATCCCACTGTGGAGGAGAGCAGGTTCATCTTACATGCAGCCAAAAACACAGCCGATCGTGAGCTTTTGTTCACATCTAGTTGATCAATTTGCAGCTGAACGGAAACTTACGTTTACATCCCCTGTCTCGTTTTCCTTCAAAACCAAAGTCAAAACTGTTTCACTGGGGCCTGCACACAAGCGTAGATGAAGAGGACGCTCACCATCGGACAGCTTACGCAAGTACACTGAAGGACACAAATCAGAGCTTAAGAATGTAAAGCTCCTTACTCTTTGTTCTCTAATAACATTCTAATATCCGTAATCCTACCCTGACTTTGTTTCTCAGTGCGTTCAAACAAAGCAAACTTTGCTGGGTTGTCCACCACGGTGAACTTGTTGAGCAGCGCCTCGATGACCTCTCGTACCCGCGTCTCAGAGCTTATGTGTAGGTGCTTCGCAGCATCTTTGGGGAGGTAGAAAGACGTCCGCCTTTTCATCTGTCGGCCCTGCTGATCTTCCCCCTCCGTGGAGGTCTGTGACTGAGGAGGAGGAGGAGGGAGGGAGATGGGTCGGACCAACTGAAAGTGCACCTTGATGAAACCAGTGTAAGACCCATCTTTGTTCTGTAATGTAGACAGATTCACAGTAAAGGAATGGGAGTGAAAATGTCTCCAGAAATGATGTACACAGTTAAGTTTTAAAGACATTTAATTTCCCCAAAAAACTATGTGCAGAAAAGAAAAAAAGATCACTCACATCAACCATGTAGAGATTGTTGTTAATCTGAGCATTATACTCCTTTACCCTCTGCTGGATCTCACCAACGCTTAACTTCTGTTGACCCAAATCGATCTGTTCATCCTTGAAATGAAAAGATGTAACAGAAAAAGTCGACCAGTGACGTCGAACAATAGTTTAGAAATGGTGACAGAAGAGTTGCATAGAATTAAAAAATCAGCTGAACCTCTATTAGATATGCATGAGAGAGCAAAAAGTGAGACTTAAAGTATTCCAGTTTCATTATTTCGGTATTGTAAAAACGCGTATGCAGTGAAACACGATTCCATCTCTTAGTCATCCTGACTGAGAGATGAGTCAGTTCCTGTGCATCCCGTCACCTCAGAGGCTCAGAGAAGAAGATGGTTGGTCGAATTCTGTCATTACCCCATATTATTCGTTATTTTCTCCTCAGTATTTTTGTCTTGGTCTTCACAGAGACATCGGGGGGCCGAGGGCCTCCCAGTGAGATCTTTCCTCAATTCATATTTGATTAAAAGATTCCAGGTAAATCTGAGAATATTGTGTAACAGTCATTATATAGCCCCATATTTATTCAGCATCTGAAACAGCATCTGGATCTGTTCCGTCTTCGCTGCCATGCATGTAAAAACCATCTCAACACAAATAGAAGTGTCCGATCAAGATTTTGCTCGAAAACCGACAAAACTAAGCGTTGCTATGTGAGGAGTTATAGTTGTCAGTCGACTGCTAAGTAGTCAACTTATGCCCTCCCTTTGGTTCTCTGCATGACTTCATCTTTGCTCTGACCATAGCCACCCGCGCACATGCTCATGGTCAGTCACATACATTTGTTTTTGCTTCTTGCACAGTGGTGTGACTAAATCTGTTAGCATTCCTTTTCTGTTATCCCACAGACACTACTGGGTTTGACTTTTTCTCACCACATTTGTGTCCGTCTCGATGGAGTCATCTGCGTAGCCGGCCTTTTCTGTCAGCACGCTTCCCTGTATGCTGCAGTCCAGGTGGATGAAAGGTCGGCAGCGGTAGTGACAAGTGTAACTGCAGTCTGAAGGCCAGAAACAGACGGAGAGGGTGAAGTTTTGCTTTCTCAATTCTTCTAGAGTAGGAGCTGAAAAGGCCTGATCACACAATAAAAAATACCTTTAAAGAAATCATTCAGAGAACACTAAGAATTCCAGCCATTATCTGAACAAAACACTGAGCTGCAATCCGATGTTTGCCAGAACTTCCCACAGATTAGGACAAGCTGTGATAAAATGTTGCACGAATGGAAAAAAATGAGAATACTCCAACTGAACTCAGGGAAGTAAAGACTGAAGGAAGTCAGATAAATCCCCGCCCCACCCCCCCAGCAAATTGTTGTAGAGCTAATGGTTTTATCCAAATTTGTTTTCTATATTCTAAAGTATTTTGCACTCTATCAGATTATTTACCAAACCAAACTCCCCTGTTGATCCCTGTGTGATTACTAGAGGCTATAAATAGCCTACACAGAATAAGAGGCACATTATGAGTGTTTTATCGGGATAGATGAACGAGAAACATATTGTAAAGTTATTGGTAGAACCTGGATGTGGTTAAAAACTTTTTCTGTATTTGTTGAGCAGTGACCAGATGTTCAGCCACAATGTTTTTTCAACCATCTTAATTCTAAATGAATAAGATAAGATTAGAAAAACTCTGTAGCTGTAAAGTATCTATAATATCCGTGCCATCTGATGCCAAAACTGTATCTGTATCAAAAACTTCCCTTCTGTGAATTCAGTCTCTTGAAAAACAAGCATCCAACATCTGAATTTTTCTAAAAGGTTTGTTTTCAACAGCCATCACTCAAATAGTAAATCAATAATGCATTTGTTAGAATTTGTTCAGTCATATCAACGGAAGTGGAGCAGTGGCTTTGGGAGTGACTCAAAGCAAATTTCAAAGCTTGTGTTCTTAATAATGAAGGAGCATTTCAGCCCGTGCATTGTCACGGTCTATTAAGTTGTTTATAACCGCTCGGAGACAGCACAGAGGAACACCATGAACAGCATTAGGCTTTACTTTTCCAGACAGTCTTGTTAGTCAGATCACTTGTTTGTTTGTTCTCACTGGCTGTGTTGACAGTTAAATCCATAAATGATAACAAATGTGATCAAAACAGATCCACGGATACTCACTGGCACAGCGCAGACTCTGCCTGTAAAGGCCCCAGACGAACTCTCCACACAGATCGCACCAGGTGAGGTTTGTGTAATTGTTGGGCTGGAAGTTGTGGCCATGGGCAGGCTCTCCTGTGTGACGGCCCGGTGCCTGGATGCTGACGCTGTCCCCAACCAAGCGGACGACGTGGTAATGGCTGGCCTGGGCCGGGTTTGCAGCCCCCGGGGCGCTGTGGCCAGCTGGAGCCGCCAGCTCAATGGGATCATCTACACTGAGGTCCTTCAGCTCAATCAGCTCACATTTAGACATCCTGTCCTGGATGCAGACACGGACATGTCAAGGAAGCACTTGCTGTCCACGAGAATGCGTGTGTAAGCCTGTTCATGCCTAAAAAGGGGAAATAAGAACAATGTCTTCACCTTTGCATGCTTTGTGAATGCTTGTTTTTTAATTTTAGACTTCTAGACGGGTGTGTGGTTCATGGAAAACCAGTAGCCCTTCCGGTAGCCCTCAGAAGCTGCAAATCATACATATTTATGATCAACATACAAACATGGATTAGTTCATCGTATAAAAAACACAGCATTTAAATCTGTTTACCACCAGACATCATGATCTCATATTTGTGTTGAGCTTTAAAAACCGAAAAATAGAAGATTAGGGTTTGTGATCAGATGCCAGGAATCATACTAAAATGTGGGTGGACATGACCAGCATAATCCCAAGAAATCCTGGGACAATCCAAACAGTTTCTGCTCGCACTCTGGACCGAACTCATCCACCAAAACTGGGTTAGAATATAATTCATTAAATAAATAAAAATAAGAGGGTTTTTTAAATAAGGTTTTTATTTACCACTCAAAGAAAGTACATGACAGGAAGGTTTTGTTTTCAAGTACAAATGTGTATAATAGATTTATTAATTACTCATGAAGTACAGAATAAATTCCATTGTACACCCTTCACTCTCGACTTTTAACGTGCCTTTGCCCCAACACTGGACTTCTTCCACCAGCAGAGTAAGGTTAAAATATATCACATATTCAAATTCCTCCTTAAACTTCCTATTTCAGAACGTGTGGGAAAAGGTTCACACAGAAGAGGCTGATGAATGTACATATGGAGCAGAGCTTTTGTGACTTGAATGTGAACAACCCGGGGCTCTTTCTGCCAAGTGGGTCACCACACGGTGCAATTATCCACACAGGACGACAAGAGCTCATTGTAATCGGGGGGATCCAAACAAATTTTTAACCAGTTTATTTTTCGCTTAAGACTCGTGTGGTTTACTCTAAGCGATAGATGACTCTTCAATCTGACATTTCAGGTCCTGTAACGGGACAGCCCGGTATCATCCTGAGGTCTGGAAACGGAGCGACGAGCCCCATTCACAGCGACACCGGAGCAAATGTCCGTCTCTTTTGGGAAACAGTTTTTTATTTTGTTCTTTGCAACAAACTAAACAAAAATCTAAAATAAAAAAGGGGGCTTACCTTGCTCATTTCTTTCCTGCTTGTAATGTGTGGACGGTGTTTGGAGAGTGAAGGCAGTTTGGAGTTGAATTAACAGCGAACTGTCCGCAGAGGCACGCACTTGGGTTTGCGCATGCACAGTGCGAATGTGGGATTAGCGTGTAATCCCGTGTGTGCTTTAAAGAGGACGGAGAGGAGAGGCACCGCTGGAGGAGTCCCCTCCATCTGAGCATCCAACCGACCCAGACGTGCCTGCTCAGGGATGAAGTTGTAGACCACACACACATTCACACACGCCGTTTGGCATAACCTGCAGAAACAGTTCAGTAAATGATTATATTCCCACACGACTGTATTCATTATACGGGTTCAACTTTTTTTAATGGAAAAAACGTTCCATTCATTATTATTTTGCTGGTAGTGTTGCAGTTTTGATACAGATCGTCTGTAAGGCGTGGCTCTTTGCTATGGACTGACTTCAGAGTAAAACAGGCACACTTTTAAATGTTATAATTCAATTTTCCCTATCTATTTAATGTAACTAAATTAAGATCAGCCAAGAAGAAACATTTCTCAAATGGCGAAAGGCAGTTTGAAATTAAATGGTTCATTAATCTTTGATAAAGGAGCATTTGGAGCACTCAGTGAAGGAAAAGCCTCTGGGCTCAAATATGGCACATCAAGAGCTCCTCTTATTTTCTACACTCAAGGCCACCATGTGTAAGAGAATGCTAAAGTGGTTTCATAGTGGGCCACACTCTTGTGGCTGTCACAGAGTTCATTGACTGCATTCATTCTGTTCATTTGCTGTCGGTCTGTTGGGTAAAAGGGTGTGGAAGCACATCAGAGATCCAAACAGTTGTACTGATATTGATATTTAGGGGGGAGTTTTCCTCCCCCACACTGTGACATCATCAGAAGACCGAGGATGTCCTCTTCACTGTACAGTTGGAATTTGACAATGGATAAATGATGGTTGATTTTAAGGGTTTTAAATCCACATACACATTAGAAAAGTCTAATTGGGATACAAGAGAGTTTCTATTGTCTGTTTTTTGGCATACATTTAAAATGTGTATTTTCATTCTATTAGGAAACATTGTTTTATCTGATTTTGTTGTTTTATTGATGACCCAGTCAGGTGCTTTTGATCACTACAATATCAATCCAGCGTCAGTGGGTACTTTCTGTCATAAGTGTACCAATGTGTATCATAGTAACAGGTAATATTGCGAGAATTATTTGGATAAAAGTTACCACTAAATTTCATTATGTGAAACTCATTCTATCTGTAAAAAATGCCAGAGGAGTTGTGGTTAATTTGGTTGTATTTGGGCCAAGTACAGTGTGAAATCATTATCAGAACAAAACAACCATATCATGGGTGTAAATTCTAAAGAAAATGTCACAACATCTGTCCATAGCGTTAATCTCAAGAGAAAGTGGGTCAAGCAGTAGGAGACTGGTCCCAAGCACCCAAGCCCCTCTGGTGACTGACGCTGGTGTTTTGGAATAATCAAAGACAAAAGCCTGATTAAAATCTGCTAACATTGTTTGGGAGGGAATGAGATGTACTATTTAACAGTAAACCTATCAACATCCCACATAATAATCTGACATATAAACAGTCAAAATTCTTAATTCCTTGAAACTGACAAGTAGAATTGATTGATCATTACAGTGAAGTTTTGTTGGATTATTAACGCCAAAACAACACTTATTGTGTACTGATACAGAATGTTTATACAACAATCCCACAATTTGTATGCTGTTTTATGTTTAATGTTCTCTTTTTGTTTATTTTCTTTTTCTTTTTTGTGATGCTGCACTGATGCTGAAGGCACAATTTTTTCAATCCATCCATCCATCCATCCATCCATCCATCCATCCATCCATCCATC